GTTTTAGTAAAAGAAGTGATATACATTCTGTAAACACTAGGAACAAACACAAGCTAGTGATACCAGTTTCTCGACTCCACGGAGTCAGTAATTCATTCTTGGGGCAATGTATACGCTATTACAACAAGGTCCCGAATAGTGTACAGGTTCTCTCTATTACCAAGTTTAAATGTTTTATTAAGCTGAAACTGTATAAAAAGGGTTATTATAGTATAAATGAATACATGGTTGATAATACCCCCTGGGAATGAGGTGATCGCTTCCAAGCAGTTTCTAAAATAAATTTTGTAAATAGTTCGTCATCATTTATATTGTAAAATTTATTTTAAAAAAAGAGTCCCGCTGGGTTTCTTGCTGGTTCTTCCCAGGACAGAGGGTTTTTTAGAACCAGTAGTAAAGTAAAAAATGACTTTCAATAAGAATTACACATGTAATGTATATTGAATAAAAAATATTCTATTCTATTCTATTCTATTCTGTTGAAACCCGGGAAGGACAGGCGTAGAGCAGCTAGTTACAGACCGATAACGCTGCTACCGCACATAGCCAAATTATTCAAACGGATCACCCTGAGAAGAATCCGCCCGTGTATCAAATTGCGGGCGGAACAACATGGATTCTGGAGAGGACACTCCGCAGCGACACAGCTGACCAGAGTGCTGCACCATTTGGCGGCCGAATATAACCGGGATCGCACATCGTTGGGCGTCTTCCTCGATATCGAGAAGGCGTTCGACAGGGTGTGGCACTCTGGTTTACTCTACAAGATGAAACAACAGACGAGTGTCCCTACGGCTAAGCTGCGGCTAGTGGCGTCGTTTCTAGCCGACCGGAGCTTCTACGTGTGTGTCGAAGATGCCGAATCCGCAGTAAAACCCATAAGAGCTGTCGTACCACAGGGCAGCTGTCTTTCGCCGATCCTGTACGCGGCTTATACAAATGACATCCCTACTCTGGCAGGACACCTACGCGAATGGGAAGACGACGTAGAGCTGGCGTTATATGCGGACGATAGCGCCTACTTCACCTCGTCCAGAAGCCCCCATCTCGCCGTCGCCAAGATGCAGCGCCTGCTGGACCTGCTGCCACCGTGCCTGGATGATTGGAGGATGGCTGTGAATGTTGGGAAAACGGCCGCCCTCCTCACCCGCCGCTACCGGAACTTCCCGCCCCCGTTGAATCTTAGAGGCCAGGAGATTACGTACGAGAACGCCGTGACCTACCTTGGGTGCCGGTTTGACAGGATGTTGCGCATGACCGCGCACGTCAACATCGTCGCCCGCAATGCCAGATGTGCGCGGGCGATGCTCCGTCCAGTCCTGGCATCCAAACTATCGCTGAAAACCAAAATCAAAATTTACAAGTTATACATACGAACGAAGATCACCTACGCCGCGCCGGCCTGGTACGCACTCCTGAGCGAACGGCAGAGGTAGCGGCTGCAGGTTCAGCAGAATCTATCTCTACGGACCATCGTCGGTGCAGGTCGCTACGTCCGGAATGACGTCATCGAGGCCAATTTAAGAATGGAGACTATCAAGGAATTTGTGACCCGATTAGCACGCGGTATGTTTGACCGCGCTGATAACGGGCCACATGAACACTTACAGAATTTCGCCCCTCTACACGCTCGGCCACCGGACGGGCGACCTCTGCCAAGAGAACTCCTCTCTATAGAGATTAGAGAGTCGAGTAACAACCCTTAATGCCGCAGATAGGCCAACTCAGACGCCTGACCGCAGTAGCCGCCGGCCATATTGACCAATGACAAAAAACAACCGGACTACCTCAGACCGAATTAGGCGCCGTTTTCAGGAAAATGACCATATTATGCCACTTTTTCAGGCTGTGGCCATATTACCCGCCTCCTGAATTTTTTTTTCAAGAAAATTTTTTAAACCAATAACAGCGACCGGGAAACCAAACCCGCGTCGCTGCATCATCCAACAACGCCAGAACGGCTCCCACGACCGGTGCATAGTAATGCACCGCGAGGAGATTCCGGGTAATGGGGTTAGCCCCGTGGCCCGAGACCTGCAGTATGCAACAGTTGCATATATGCGGAAGACAGGTTAACGTGTACTCTTCTGTATTCTGTACAATTTGCCGAAGGGTGTGTATGTGGTAAATGGTACTGTTACGAGCTTGGGGTTCGAGACAATTAAAAACTGCCGATTGAATTACCAAAATTGACACTTTATTTACACAACACTAATTACAATCTAAAATCACACTAATAATAAAACACAGTTCGCCGTTATTTCGCTTCGAAGTATTCTCTTGTATCGCCAATTCAATACTGCCCCGGTCGTGGTCTATACCGGCCTTATATAGGGCCTCAGATATTTTCTAAAACCTTCTACTGTAGCGACATCTAGAATGTTCGAGTACATATCGGTCCCGAAATTTCTGGAAGGATCTCGACTCTCCTAGTTCTGCTACTCGACACTAGAGGGCGCTAGTGTAACTAGTGTTGCCATGTACAAGACATTAATAGTGGCGCACAATACTTTCATTTACTCGACACTAGAGGGCGCTAGTGTAACTAGTGTTGCCATGTACAAGACATTAATAGTGGCGCGCAACAGTACTAAAGCCTTTTCGGAAACTGGTTTATTCGTGAGGCTGGAAGTGGTCAAGTCTGCGTGCGAGACGATTCGTAATGACTCTCGAAAACAGCACGTAGACGCGGCTTAGAAGGGAAATCGGTCTGTAGTTCTTCAAGAAAGCGTTATCGCCTTTCTTGAAGAACAAGACCACCGCACTTCTGCTTCACGCCTCCGGAATAGTGCCAGTGAGGACGGAATTAAAGAGCTTCTGAAGGACTTCTAGTACCAGTTTTCCACCCGCTTTCAGAAGCTCCACTGTATTTTCCATCCTCACCTAGAGCCTTTTCGTTTTTAAGGTGCTGGAGAGCCATTCTAATCTCGCTCAGACTGGTGTCCGTGATATCTTCGGAATAGTGTCGGATAAGACTCGCTCTTGGATAGTTACTCACACTTGCGTGTGGCTCCAACGATGACGTTTACAGCTGCCCATAGAACCTCTTAATCTCACTCAAAACCTCAGGTTTCCCGTAAACGATGCTGCCACACTCGGTCTTTAGCTTTGACATTGTCTATTTCTGTCAGACAGATCTCTGACAAAGACTTTTGGCCTTGGTTCCGATCGATCGCTTCTTCAATACAAGCTTTATTAAAGCCCCCCCCCCCCCCATTACGAAGTGCGAGAAGCAAATCCGCCCTCATGGGTAGGATGCAAAAAACCCGCATCGATTCCCAATACGCTGAGCTAAACCACAGACGTTGGCAGCCTACAGATCAAACCTGCAATAAGCAAGTGATGGGCGCTGTACTTCGGAGCAGGCAGTGATCCGAAGAGCCAAGAGGGGCATCGATGGAGACCCGATATCCGTCTGGATGATCCTCCACATCTTGTATCCGCGTAGGCGAAGTAACCAGTTGTGTCAGACCATATGTCAAGGCAAACTCGTAAGTAGATCTTCCCGCACGATCAGTAGTACAAGTACCGAGCTATTTGTCGTGGTAGGCGTTGATACTTGTGCGTTTACCGTATGAAATTGTGTGTTTTATTTTCGCCTATGAAATAATCGATTACTGATTGTCTGCCATGAATTGTCTTAGTCGAGAAAGGTGTAACGTTTCACGTGTTTGTGACATCAAGTAAATTCAATATACCACGTCTTATTAAGTTTCACTGAATAAATTACGCGTAGGCAGTGATGTGCGGGTTTGGATACGCGGGCAAGGCTCGGATTACGGTATATTTTTCGAAACGTTTTCGCCTTAAATACCTAAAAACTCATTTGTTTCGTTTATGTTCGAACGGAGTAATAATAAAAACGTTTGTATAGAGAACGAAATTATATCGTTCTAGTTCAATAAAACGTTTTTAACCATTTTAAACAGTTTTTTCCCATTTTTGGCACTGCAATACGAAACATAAATACCTTATAGGTTCAAACTTGTCGTGACACGCGTAATTCATTTAGCTTCCTACAAAATGTTGTACAAGGAACCAACCCAAAAGTTTTAAAAACGTTATTTTTAATAACGTTTCCGAGCCCTGTACGCGGGGCCCGATTTTGCGCAGGGCCCGTAGCAATTGCTACTCTTGCTACATGGTTAATCCGGCACTGGGCTGGCCCAAGGTGGCCACTCTGAGTGGACTTGTCGAGAACTTACATGTGTGTTAGTGGAAACAAGGAAAGAGGATTGTTGGTATGCTAATGCGCCACTCGACTATCCTCCGCAACTTTGACTGTACCACTTGGTACTTCCGAGTGCTCGTTTTTTCTTGGCTCTATGGCCTCCACATATCGGGCTCGGGAAGTTGGGGAGGGAAGTCCTCAACTAAGGAGGGTTCCTCGCTAGTGGGGCCGCGAATTTGCTTTAAAGCGTTTCCGTGGCCCTGTCAATGTGTGGTGAAGGTGGAATATCATGGGGTTTTAGTAGGTGCAATTCCGACATAATCCGTTCTTGCCCCCGTAATGCAGGCATTTTCTCATTTGACACCCAGAACAAAATCTGTTCTGTAGTTATGAATAAAACGTAGAAAGATCAACGCAGTCTCTATTCTTGTTTTATATGAGGTATAAAGCTTGCTTCTAAGGCCTGGGTATTAATTGATACATTTATATATTGTATGGCATTATATTAATATGAATAAATAGAATGGACGTTACGGGTAAGCCTGGGTATAGAATTCTTATCGATATATTTTTTCACACTGTCTTATTTCTATTATTAGTTCCGTGGACGTTCACTTCTGCTGTCAGCGCCAAAATGGCGAAAATCAAATCGCCTTATTATGTCACGGTGTATAGCCAGTCCATATATAGAGGTCAGTGATGATACCTCATTATAAAGTGACGCCGCTCTGGTGGCAGAAAAAATCGTGGATGCCATTGACACGAATGGCTTAATAAACAAGCATCCAAGCTAAAAAATTTAATATGAAAAAACAATTGACATGACATTCTGACTGACATTGATATTTTCAGAAAGTCAGAATCAAAACAGAAGCAAAGAAAATTCCAAATAAAAAGCAGAACCAGTTTACAAGATAAAAGGCACGATAATATGATTTATACTTAAAATATTTATCGATAAAAAAATCTCAGTGCTTTTATGGGCCGCGCATAGTAAAAAAATTGATTTAATAAATACAATAAAATTGTATTAAATACTAAAAAATTGTAATTGGAACCAATCACATAAAAACATAATAATGGTTCGCTTACCGTTAATCATGAACAATATGATAACATCTGTAATAGGAATTAACAAATGTCTTATAAACCGGAGTTTTGTCAGAAATTTAATGTCTAAACAGCTTGTATACAGTGAATTTGGAGATCCATTGAAAGTTGTTAAGTTCAGAGAGTGTGAAGTGCCTCCTCTTGGTAATCAAGATGTTTTAGTACGCATGCTAGCGGCACCAATCAACCCTGCTGACATTAACACCATACAAGGTATATGTTACTTATTAAAAATTGTATATTAATTTTAAGTGATTACAGCTTATGTTATGATCATGAGTGAAGATAATGAGAAGGTAGTGCGAATCAGGTATTATTAATATATTTTTGTAAATTTCATATATCATATTAGTTTTAATTTTATCACATTATTTTTCTTTCAGGGAAGTATCCTGTTAAAGTCAACCTTCCAAGTGTACCAGGTAATGAAGGTGTTGGAATTGTTGAAGAAATTGGTAAAGATGTGAAAAAAATAACTCCCGGAAATAAGGTTATTGTAACCAAGCCTGTTCAAGGTACTTGGAGGAACATAGGCACATTTAATCAAGAAGTTTTAAAAGTTGTTCCCGAGGGTTTGGGTTTGGTTGAAGCTGCAACTCTTACAGTAAACCCATGTACAGCATATAGAATGCTAACAGATTTTAAGCCAGTAAGTGATGGCCTTGTAGTAATACAAAATGGAGCTAATAGTGCCTGTGGACAAAATGTCATTCAAATATGTAAAGCGTGGGGTGTAAAAAATATTAATATTGTCAGAAATAGGCCTGAAATAAATGAATTAAAGAAGTATTTGGAATGCTTGGGAGCTACTTATGTCCTTACAGAAGAAGAATTACGTTCCACAAATATTTTTAAAGATAATATTATAGAAAAGCCTTCACTGGCTCTAAACTGTGTAGGAGGTAAAAGTTCTCTTGAAATGTTAAGACATTTACAACACTCAGGTAAAATGGTAACATACGGTGGTATGTCAAGAGAACCAGTTAATATTCCAACCTCTGCATTTATTTTTAAGAATTTATCTTTCCATGGCTTTTGGATGACTGCATGGAATGAGAAAGCAGATCCTACAGAAAAGAATAATATGATGAATGATTTAATATCAATGATGTGTGAAAAGAAGCTTAAAGGGCCAATACATAAATTGGTCAAATTTGAAAACTATGAAGAAGCTCTTGGCAATGCTCTTACATCTCAAGGCTACACAGGCTGTAAATATATATTAGAATTTAGTTGTTAGGTACAAATAAAATGTTATTTGTTTATGTGTTATTTAATTATGTTTTTAAGAGGTATTGTTAATAAAGTATTTAACAAAAATTTTGCCATTTTCATGATCATCTATTACATAATTAAATAAAACTAAACAAATGCTGTAAAATATAAAAAAACAGCAAAACATAGGTACTATCAAGTCATGTTGTCATAAGCATAACAAAATCTTATCTGTAAACAGTGTTGCTAACATTTATTTTTGAATTTTCCAACGCAGCAAGTTAAATGCCTACTGTTCCCCATTTTATCAATGAGCTTTTTGCATGAATTTAACTGAGTATGTAAAAATATAGAACAGATTAATCTAGTACCTACAGTGAAAAAATTATCTCGATCCAACTAAAAATGACGAAATTACTGCGATTTTAGTGGAGCGGTTTCTACAAACTCGTTTAAAATAGAATGCCGTTCGCGTGAGGTCTAATGTATCTCTAAGATCAAAGGAACACTACTAATGAACGCACCACCTATTATTGGTTTGCCCCCTTCCGTTCTGGAAATTTTGACCTGAAAAATTAACTCCATGGTCGTCCGAAATTTTTGGACGACATTACGAATTAAAGGCGATTGTGGAAGCTGAAGATACTAAATCTACGGCTGAATTAGTAGCAACTTTCGATGTTGGCATCAGAACAATATTGATATATTTGCATCAAATTGGCAAGGTAAAAAAGCTTGACAAACGGATGCCCCACGAAATTAATTATCCCCAGCGCGAAGTACTAGTCGCGACGTGCCTTGCACTGATCGACTGAGTTTTGTAGTGCATTGTTACCTGCGACGAAAAAAAAGCGATCAGCATTACTACAGATGTGTACTGAAAAGAATTGAACATAATCTGGAGAAGCTCACGCATTTCCAACCAGCTTTGGTCAATCGCTCGTCCCCGCTGCTCATGCACGACAACGCGTGACTCATACTGCACAACTCACGGTCTCCAAGTTACAAGTGCTAGGGTTGGAAGCTCTCCGTCATCAGCCGTACTCACCAGACCTTGCGCCTACAGACTTCTACTTTTCCAAAATTTGGATAACTTCTTGGTGGGAAAAAAATTCAATACCCGGGAGGCAGTACAAATTACCTTTGAAGAATTTTTTGCCTCCCGTTCAGCTGATTTCTTTAAGAAGGGCATCATTAAAATGCCACTGTGTTGGCAAAGATGTATCGATTGCAATTACTTTGATTAATAGAAATAAAAAATATAGAAAAAAAAAATTACGTTAACTTCTTAAAAAACGGCAATTTCATAGGTCCTAAGTCCTAGGACCTAATATAAATAATTATATACCGTTATTACAGTTTTTGAAAATACGAGTCCTAAATAAGGCTTCTACTTTTATTTGAAATTGTCCCAAATGGAATGTAATTTATGGGCACAATACAAATTGGTACACTCAGTACTTCAAATTAAAATCTGTTAACAAACAGCTCCGACACGCGGTAATTCGAAGCCCCTCTTCCCAGCTCTCGGCAATTCGAACTTTCGTTCCTGGAGAGACATGCTGGAGCATGTTCTAATCGTAAGGTTTCCTTTCCTCCCTCAGTATCTTTTCCAGCCCTGTACGTGCCGTCATGTCAGACTGAAAGAAATACAAATGTTTAACGATCGCGGAGTAGATTCGCGCCACTGAAGCCGTCGAGAGAGGCGATAGTAAGACAAACGTTGCCAAGAACTTCAATATCCCGCTCACTTTCCACCATCTTGAAGAACAAGGAGAAGGTCCTCAGTGTGACAGCGAACGCATCAAGAAAGTGGAAAAGGCAAGGTGACTTCCCTCGTCTTGAGGGGTATTTAGTCAAGTGGCTTAAGTAATGCAGTCGGTCAGTTGGTGGCATTTTATTAAAAGAGAAGGCCAAATCATTTGCCAATGAATTGGGGCTCAATTTTTCTGCAAGTAAAGGGTAGCTCACTAATTTTAAGACGAGGCATTTTTTAAACAAATTTGTGGGGAAAGTTCTAGTGTGAATAACGGTGTTTGTTTCCGATCATTGGAAGAAGTGCAGGTTCAACGAGACACGGCTGGGGTAGAACCTACGTTTTGGGAATGTATTACAGCTCAAGTTTATGTGACTTATGCAAACTTTGTGTGAGTTGATGAAGACATCGAAGTTTGGGGCACCTTGACTGATGCGGAAATTCTTGCACTAGACGGAGGAAATGAAAATGATGAAGAAGACGAATCAGAGTAGTTGCCGCCGATAACGCTGACGGAAGCGACTGTTTCATTGAATAATCTACGAGACTTTTCACTCCAAAATTAAGTAAAAGAGATGGTATTTCAAGCCCTATTTGTTCTTGAAAAACTATTGAATGAGCTCTTGTTATTTCTTTACAGCAAAATGTATCACAAATTTTTTTCTTTCATTAAACAATTTTTATGTCTAATTTTTTTTATTTATAATATGTACATACACCTGTAATGTGATTTGCATATGTATAAGTAAAGGGTATTAAATTTTGAATAAAACTATTTTTTACGGATTTTATCGCGTTTAATTTACTATTTTAATTCCCGACTGTTACGGCCCTCAGTTGCCCGACAGAAGTCGACTGTACTAGGGCCCATGAGTAATACACTCGACGAGCAACCAGAGGGTTCGGGCCTAATGACCTATGGATAATTATTAACTAATGGCTGATAAGTTAACACAAACTTTCCGAGTTCCGGAGGTAGTATCGACCACAAGGCGCAGTCAGGTGGTAAGTAAGGTGTATGTAAGTAGTGTGCGAAAGTGTGTGTAAATGTAACCTGACGTCACCGATGTAATCGGACAGCAGAACCACAGGCGCTGCTTTTCTCCACAATGTGCGATCCCTCCAGTGGGCGTTACCCAATAGAGACTTTCTGCTTTTATTTCACTATACTAGTTTATCAACTTTATTGTACATTTAATTAACTTCAAATTTAACTAAATCAACGTTAATCGAACTTAAAACAAGTGACACATTGCCCAACTAAAGAACTGTCGGTCAAAGTTCAATGTCCCATGTTCAGTTAGCACAAAATTATAATCGAGCACACGCGATCTCCTCTCGAGTCACAAAGTTTTAGCGTTCCACCCGACAAAGCAAAATTCCTTCGTACGATATTAAAATACCACACAAGCAACTCGTCGACGCAAATTAATGGCAATCGAAGTTAAATTAATCACTCAAAACTCAAGGAAAGCCTCTTGTCACGCATACGAACGAAATTAGACAACGCAAAGGAGGCGGTCCTGACGCGACCTACCGATTTTCACGTAACTTCCCGGCATATAACCGACACGGCCGTCGCGGACGATTGATTGTTCCAGACTATTCACACCGCCGTCGCGTGCAAAAACGAATGCCGCCGGCTCAAGCCGTCAAACCGGTTAGTCGCCGAGACGAGCGTTGGAATGCAAGTTTTAAGTGTTACGATTTGGCCTAAACACCGACGTTTCCGGTGCTTTACAGCAACCCACGGGGGGGACTGAGATGTTTGACGTCCCGATGTCAGTGTCAGCGCTAAGTTTTCTTCAATGTGTAGTGTTCGCGTAAATATAAGAAATCATTCGGTATTAAATATTGTTAAGATAACAACGATAATTATTCTTACATGTGTGACATCAATTTTTTTTAACTCTTATCTGATAAATCGAACTTTCGATAATTCGAAGTTTTTTGATAGAGCCCCCCAACTTCGAATTATCAAGAGTCGACTGTACCTCAAAATGAAATCAGTTTCTTTCTATGCATAGACGAGCACGTTTTCTTAAATTACACTTTTTATGTGTGTTTGAGCACTTTTAACATCCGTGTACGCAGCAATAATTTTACTGTGAAGGTCTTCATAACTTTGAACCTCTTTGAAGTAAACACAACTCTTTATTTTACCCTATAGATAAAAATCTAACGGTGAAAGTTCGGGCGAGCTTGCATACCATAGTATAGAGCTTTCGTGCTCAAATTCATCTATCTTCATATTCACTACTAGCTGTTCTCCGCGACTTCGCCCGCATGAAATTAAGGGTTATAAATTTTTTGTGCGGAACTCTAATTTTTATTCTAAAATAAAAATAGCCTAAATTACTCCTTTTAACATCAGCTATCTGCCAGTGAACGTCCCGTCAAAATCATCCATTTTATTTATTTGTATAGATTTAAATGATCACTCACTTAAATCTATACTATAAATAGTTTGATTAGCTGTCAATTGTTCTTCGATGGGTAGGTACACGTACCTTATTTTCTTATCGCGGTAAAGACTCACTTTCCTATAATCTTTGAGCACCACGTAAACTTTCATTGCTTAAAATGTAATAACGCACCATTTCATAGAATTCACGGTTTAAATATTTTTTTCATTGGTAACGAAGCGACACTACTACTTATGAAAATTTAAAAATAGCAAGCACACTTGTACATTATGAGGTCATGGTCTAAACTGTCAGCTGTCGGCCTCTTCGGTATGTGGTAGACGCGCGACAAGGTACCTAAATTTCGTAAGCGAGCGACCCTTACGAATGTGTGTGTGCGTAGTAAACTATTAGGCGTTAGATATTTATGAATGACAACCAGTTAAAACAATGCATTACCACACATTCTGAATTTAAAAGATGAGAAGGACAAAATGTTTGAGATTGTTTAAATTCATTTTTCTTCACCATTGTTTCACACATATTAATTATTCTGAACCTTCTCTTCAAATTTAATCGTATATTGAAAAATACCACTGTATATTCATATGTGACGAATAAACGCAAAAAAAATTGTTTAAATTAATTTTACTTCACCATTACTTCACACATATTAATTATTCTGAACCTTCTCTGCAAATTTAACCGTATATTGAAAAATACCACTGTATATTCATATGTGACGAATAAACGCAAAAAAAATATTATATTAAAAATGAAATAACATTTGCGTGTTCTATTTTTGTTTCATTGTTTCAACGATGTAATTTTTTTATTGCAGGCAAAGGATCATGTTTGCCATGTTTACCACATGTTCCTGGTGATGAAGGAGTGGGTGAAGTTGTGGAGATCGGCAAACAAGTTTGTACAATAAAGCCTGGTAATAGGGTTGTTTTGACATCCAGACTTTTAGGTACTTGGCGGTATTATGGCACATATCATGAAAGAGATGTTCATGTTATATCGCCAAATATTCCTTTACCTGAAGCGTCAATGCTCACAGCAGCACCATGTATAGCTTACAGAATGATCACGGATTATCGACGAATATATCCAGGGGAAACAATTATTCAAAATGCTGCAAATAGCCCATGTGGTCAATGTGTTATTCAACTCTGTAAAGCTTGGGGGATTAATACCTTTAACATTGTCTCTAATCGTAATGGATACAAGGCAATGAAGCAATATTTATTAAATCTAGGAGCCACAGCAGTTTATACACTCGAAGAAGCTGAAGAGTTGACATCTTTTAATACATCTTTGTCACGACCAGTGTTGGCATTTAACTGTTTGGGTGGCAAATACGAAGATGTTATATTGAAATTATTGGATCGGTGTGGAGTTATCGTTTACTATGGTTGTGCGTATGATTTACCATTAGCAAAACAGTTATTACGTCGTGATGCTGGATTCTATAAATTTCGATTAAGTGATTGGGATCTACTTGCTACTAATGTTCAAAGAAATATAATGATTAATCAAATAATACAACTTATGGTTGTAGGTAAATTAAAAGCTCCTTTATATGAACCAGTTCAACTTCGAAATTACGTTCATGCATTTAAAAATACTGTTCACTGTGAAGCGTTTTCAAATGTTAATTATGTATTTGATTTCACTATACCATAGAATGATAATTAATTTTAAACGATATCAAAAAAAAAAGTTTTTATTACAAAATTTAAAGTGACCTAATCATAAAATGCCGACAACATGAGAATTTAAAAAATATCGAATATTGATGACCATAGATTTCTTACTAAGGTACCACAAACTAATAAGAAAGTACTCAGTAAAATTTATGACAGCTGGATGACAACAATGCGCATCAGCTGTTTAAGTGTTTAAAATTTAAACTTTAAATTGTCAACAAAGTCAACGCTCGACATGTTCTTACAATCTATATTTACAAAGAAATGTATGCATGTTTTAAAAGTATGTGTAATGTGTGTTGCAAAATGATTGCTGTACTAATAAGTATGTAATATGAGAATAATTTACCTACGACACAAAAGCCTTTAAAATGTATTAATATGTTACCATTGCCTATGTTTCTAAAAATAAAAGATGGATAAAAATTCCTATGAGACCTACGAGTATTTACCAACTGCTGAAAATGAAACAAACCAATTTTTTGTGGTACAAGATGATGGTTCATTCTTAAGTGGTATGTAAAATACCTGATTATTTATTACGTCTTTTTTGCTTAACCTCTATTTTTTTATCAACTAATATGAACCTATACATCACGCGCACCCTTACTATACAATACCCTGGAGACCTAAACACAAGAGTTACTGTTATGATTTTAAATCTTAATAGAATTCATTATAGAACTAAAAATAAAATATTGAAATACTATGCTATTTTTTATACATGTCAATCTTGTATCAGCAATGATTAAAGTTTGGTGATTTTAAACTCCAATGTTGAAAAGATTTTCAAATTATGATGAGATATGGGGCTTTCTTCATTTTATGTATTTGTAAACAATAAAAAGATGACTGTGAACATGGCTAATCAATAAAAAAAACAAGGATTGTTGAAATTCTATACAATTTTTTAATGCCTTCAAAGAGGAGGAGATTCCGATTTATACAAAATAGTATCTTAGTAGATAGAGGTGAAAAAATTCCATAAAGCTTGAAATATTATTATAGTTATATCTGTATCAATTACATCATTGTATTAACAATTTATGAGAGAATTTATTTTGTCACAGCTTCAAACTACTAAAAAGAACAAAATAATTTCAAATTGAAATAATTTTTTACCCTTTTGAGTGGGCTTAAGAATATTACAAGCTTGAGGTAACGACAAAAGTTTTGTCTAAATAGTTACATTTAAAATTATGAACCATATGGAATGTGACTCCCTGCTACTACCCCTCACACTAAGCACAAAACTTGTCCATGTTGTAGAGGGAGCAATACCGTTTTATGCAGTTATAACATCACTATGCTCAGGTCACAAGTTATCATGCATGAGTGATAAATTCAATTCCATAAATACCATACCATTACAGTCTATGAAAAGTCTACTGCTGAACATAGGCCTCCCCTAGAGATTGCCTTATATGGAAGATATTTGCTATAATTGTTATCCTTGAAAAGTGTGTTGGAAACCTAAGACTTTTACTTTTATATTACTGTTATCAGGAAGATGCTGCTGCCCATCTCTTTGTTCAGCTTCCCTCTGTTGCCTCTTATGATACCCAAGGGATGATATGGGATAGTAGATATTCTTATATTGCGACTAGACATGTCCATAAATACCAGGAATATATTATATCAATATTAAATAAACAGAACATGGATTTGCACACTTAATTCCTATCAATTGCATTATAGTTTACTTTCTGATTACTGATTACTGCTCAAATAATTAACCAATTAGCAGTAAGATTAGTGTTTAAGCTCCAGTTTCCAACACGTGAAAATATTTTCTGTACAAGTGGGCACATATGAAAATCAGTGCTCAGAACTTATAGTCGGAGCATTTTAATTGTACTTAAACTAATTTAATTAAGAATTATCTAAAATAGTGTGTGACTAATTGCGGTTATTACCCTCTTAAAATGAAAGGAAGCCTATGTTGAGCTGTGAATTTCACTTAACTTTCCTTTTTACTTTCCAGTAAATAGACAGATACAGTATGTGACAGAAGTACAAAATGTGAAAGAAGTGTTAGAAAGTGTAGAGCCATGCACTGTATATGATGTTTCTTCCCAGCAATTCTATATAGATGTTGACAATACTGCTGAACTTATTTCTGTATCTGGTATGTACTATCAAACTAATTAACATTTATGTAATACCATATCCACAACTCTTCTCAATGATGATGATGATATCAAAGGTAACAAATTGTTGAAAGTTCTCAAATAAACTTGGTTAACCAGTAGCAGATAACTGATAACAACCTAAATACTTGTATAGCTAAATTTTCTCAAAATAAATTTTAAAGTCTACCTGACTAATTTGCTGAAATCATCATCATCATCATCATCATCATCATTACAGCCCTTCAAAAGTCCACTGCTGAACATAGGCCTCCCCCATGGAGTGCCACAAAGCACGGTCCTGAGCCACCTGCATCCATCGGCTCCCTGTAGGTCTTACCAGGTCGTCACTCCATCTAGTGGGGGGACGCCCTACACTTCGTCCGCCGGTACGAGGCAGTCACTCGAGAACCTTTTGACCATTGCCACTTCAGCTTACTAATCCGTTGGGCTATGTCGGTCACTCTGGTTCTACTGCGGATATACTCATTTCTACATTTATCACGCAGAAAAACTCCGAGCATAGCCCTCTCCATAGCTCGCCGAGTAACCTTGAGCTTCCTCATCCGGCCAGCAGTGAAGGACCACGTCTCAGTTCCATAAGTCATCACTGGCAACACCACTGACTGTACAGTCTCGTTTTTAAGTTTTCAGAGACGAGAAGATGTGCCGTAATTTCCCGAATGCTGCCCCACCGAGTTCAATCCGTCGATTGACCTCTCGGTCGAAGTTGGACTTACCTAGTCGGACTATTTGTCTCAGGTAAACATACTTGTCAATAACTTCGAGCTTAGTGCTCCCAACAACTATCGGCATAGGTGTGACATGGACATTAAACATGATCTTTGTTTTGTCCATGTTCATCTTAAGACCTATCCCTTGGGAGACACTATTGAGGTCATTTAGCATAGTGCTTAGGTCCTCCAGCGATTCTGCCATAAGGACTATATCATCAGCAAATCGAAGGTGAGTGATGTACTCGCCATTGATGTTAATACCTCCTCCTTTAATCCTTTCCAGTCCAGAGGCTTGAAAACGTCTTCCAATGCAGCGGTGAAGAGTTTCGGGGATATAACGTCACCCTGTCTTACACCTCTCTGCAGTTGGATAGGTTTCGTACTCCGATTCTGTACTCGGATAGCCATCGTAGCTCTACTGTACAAACTTTTCAGCACTTCGATATACCGACAGTCAACTTGGCACCGCTGAAGAGACTGCAGCACCGCCCAAATTTCGTTACGGAATCAAAGGCTCTCTCATAGTCCACATACGCCAGACATAGTGGCAAATTGTACTCTTCGGACTTCTGTACAATTTGCCGAAGGGTATGTATGTCTATGGTGCTAAAGCCCTTTCGGAAACCGGCTTGTTCGGGAGGCTGGAAGTCGTCAAGCCTGCGCGCGAGACGATTCGTAATGACTCTCGAAAACAGCACGTAGATGCGGCTCAGAAGGGAAATCGGTCTGTAATTCTTAAGAGAGCGTTGTCACCTTTCTCGAAGAACAAGACCACCGCACTTCTGCTCCACGCCTCCGGTGTAATGCCACCATGGAGGACCGAATTAATGAGCTTTTGAAGGACTTTACGTACCGGTTTTCCACCCGCTTTCAGAAGCTCTGCTGTAATTCCATCCTCGCCTGGGGCCTTGCCGTTTTTAAGGTGCTGGAGAGCCATTCTAATATCGCTCAGACTGACGTCCGGGATATATTTGGAATAGTATCGGATAAGACTCGCTCTTGGATCGTTACTCACACTTGCGTGTAGCTCCAACGATGACGTGTACAGCTGCCCATAGAACCTCTCAACATTACTCAAAATCTCAGGTGTCCCGGAAACGATGCTGCCACACTCGGTCTTCAGCTTTGATAGTTGGCTCTTTCTGGCAGACAGATCTCTGGCAAAGACTTTGGAGCCTTAGTTCCGCTCGATCGCTTCTTCAATACAAGCTGTATTGAAGTTGCGTAAGTCCCGCCACATGCATTTGGAGATCTATCTGTTCAGTTACCTGTATGCTGTCAAATCTGTTGAAGACTACAGCTTCATCTCCCGTCTAACAGCCATGAGATTAAGAGTGTGCTCGGAGAGTTTTTGTGTTCTTCTGCGGCGGGTCTTGCAGAACTTAGCTCCGACCGTATGGACAGTTTCCACGAGCTTGTCATTCATATCGTCCACTTCATTGCAGTCTTCTAGGCACTGAAAACGGTTTTGTAACTCGAGCTTCAGGAGACAAACAAAGATGTCAAAACAAAGAGGTTTCAGGACTTTGGAACAGAGCACGAGGGTGACGGAGCGTTGACTTCATTAGACGAGACCTCTCCAACTTAACGTTTAGGTTCAATGTGCCTCTAACCATTCGGTGATCGCTACCAGTTTTCACCCTCGCGGTCACGGAGACATCACTGAACAGTTGTCGTCTGGTCGTCATAATGAAGTCAATCTCATTTTTTGTCGAACCGTCGGGGCTCGACCATGTCCACTTCCTGTGAGGCCACTTCTGGAAGAAAGAGTTCATCATAAAGAGTCCTTCTTTTTCCATGAATTCGGCCAGTTGTCCTATTCCAAATTTCCCTAGGGTTCCGTTGTCCTATTCCAAATTTCCCTACTTTCAGCTCACCGTTCTCTCTTGTGCCTAGTTTTGCATTGAAGTCTCCCATTAACACCATATAGTGGGTTTTGGAGGAATGCATGGCTCTAGAGATATCCTCATACATTTCCTCCACCTCCTGATCGGGGTGTGCTGAGGTTGATGCGTAGACCTGTATGACCTTCAGCGAATACCGTTTGGTGATTCTGAGTATAAGGTACGCAACCCTCGTCGACACACCCTCAATATTTACAACGTTGTTAACGAGAGACTTGTGGACGATAAATCCGACACCTCCTTGGGACAGATGGTCGCCCTCCCGGTGATAGAACAAGTTGCCGGATTCGAGGATTACCGTGTCCTCCCCCTCTCTTCGGACCTCGGATAATCCTATAATATGCAAGCATAACTTGTCTATCTCTTCTTCCAGCTCCACAATCTTCTCGTCAGTGCTCAGGGTGCGTGCGTTGTATGTTGCCAGGTCGAGTCGTTTTAGGTGGCAACCGAACCTCCACCGGAGATTCTTAGCACCCCCTGCCCCGCCGTTACCATGGTCGCCACCGTAGCCTGGATAGCGGGGCCGCCGAGGACTGGGGGCCGTCTCTTTTTTGCTCTATTCATTGGGGGTATTTGCCATAGTTGCCACACTTGGCGAGCGGGTTGGCAACCGCAGTTTTTTTTTATTGAGTGTTCGAATAATGCACGAAAGTATTTGTATAGCCTACAAATAATTGTGCCGGGTTTGGATATTTGTCCTTGTGTAATTTATGTATATAATATTATGTAATTTCTGTATACAATACGGGACAAAATAGTAAAAAAAGAATTTATGAATAATATGAATAATTATATAAAGTAGTACAGCAACCGTCACTTAGCCGCTTTATTTTGGATACAACACTATTAGGTCGGCTCGACCCGGGAAAGACAAAACTAACAGAAAACCATTATAAAATAGCAACTTAATGCTTCTGTTCCATATGGTAAGTGTAAAAAACCAAAGACCCTACAATTGTGCCAAGCACTTGCGGAATATCGACATTTTGCTACCTACTTACACAATATAACCCAGTTCTGCTTATATTAGCTCGAAATAAAACCAGAAATTGCTCCCAACAATCGCATATTAATGATGGCCAAACTTGAAGCCCTCCATAAAGCAATTGATAATGTTATCAAAAAGAAATGTGTAAAGCATTTTGAGGCTTCGGAAAATCGATTTGCAGTAAGCCGTTTTAAGAGATTGAGTACACCTTACTGTACTTCTTACTATCTACAAAGATTTAAAGATTACAAGCTTTTATTTGCATCAAAGATAGTAAATACAGGTGTTAATTAAATAAAAAAATGGCCAAACATGTTTCACCGCATACAAATATCAAATTTAATTTTACCTTTTACAATTAAATTTCAGGAAGATAAATTATAATTATTTATATTAATTTCATAACATAATATTTACCGTTACCGTTATCAAAACTCTACTGCTGAACATAAGGATATTTGCCATAGCTAACGCTTGGCAAACAGGTTGGCAACTGCAGTTTTTCATTTTTAGTTACAATTAAGAAGGCTGCTTGCTTTCCTTGCTTCTGTGCATAGTGTCAGTGACTTATGTAACATAATTTTAAATAATAAAGTAGACCTATGCTTTGCTACGGAGGCAGGGCAGACATGGCAAACGCTCTGTCCTGATGAAAATGTTACACTGGAAGTTAACCAACAAAAACAGTGGGATATTCTATTGGTACAGGGCGTGCAGAAAGATTTGTTTCATAATTTCCATAGTGACCAAGATAAGGCACGCCTTCTAGCTGTTTCGACTAAGGAATCTAGTCACTGGTTACACGCTTTACCATCAAGTAATCTCGGCACATTACTTGATGGGGAAAGCTTGCGCATTGCCGTAGGAATCCGACTAGGAGCGGCGATTTGTCAACCCCATCAGTGTCCCTGTAGTAGCAGCGTCGACAAGTTTGGGCTCCACGGACTTTCATGTAAGAAAGGCGCTGGTAGGTTTTCGCGACACAATTCTTTGAACGATGTCATCCGAAGGGCTCTTGTCTCTATAAATGTTCCCTCGGTTTTAGAGCCTCGTGGAATGTTTAGGAGACGATGGCAGGAGACCCGACGGTATGACATTGGTCCCTTGGGAGAGAGGTAAAGCCCTAGTGTGGGATGCTACTTGCGTAGACACTCTGGCGGCCTCTCATCTCAGGGGTACCTCGTTTAGAGCCGGGGTGGCATCAGAGGTAGCTGAACTGAGTAAGTGGCGCAAATATGAGTCTCTGAGAGATGACTACACATTTGTGCCATTTGCTGTAGAGACTATCGGTCCGTGGGGTCCACGTGCGGTGAAGTTCCTAAAGGAACTCCATCCGCGGCTGGTCGTTGCTGCTGGTGATAAGAGTGCTTGTTTTTTTTTCGCTCAAAGGCTAAGTATAGCCATTCAGCGGGGAAACGCAGCCAGCGTTCTTGGCACGATACCGCGGGGAGTAGGACTATATGATAATTAAGTTTCTAGTTTTAGTTGTTTTTTATTATTATAGTTTTTAATATTGTATATAATAATATTAAAATAAAGAATTAAAAATGTAAAAAAAAATTAAGAAGGCGCTGCTGCCCATCTCCAGGTTTGTATCCCTCTGTCGCCTCTTTCGATACCCACGGGAATATATAAGATAGTGGATATTCTTACCGTGCCAGTGCTTTTTTCTTTTTTTTGTATAAGGGTATCAAGCCAGCAAACAGGCCACCTGATGGTAAGTGGATGCTGTGGCCCATAGACATATGTGTACATCTATCCTCGATTAAGAATCAAAATACAGATGCATTGTCACCCCTGACGACTAAGATGGAATACCTCATATCCAGTAAAAAGGGTCTCCAGTTCTCTACACTCCATACGAAACACCTATTCGAGCCGACCTATTCACAATACAACTATAATATAGCTGCGTCATGGCTCTACTATACACATTCAAATATAATATTTTTTTAATTTAATATATTTTCATTTGAAACGGTTTATTTTCTCCTAGCTTTCTTATAAAGGTAGAACTTTTCTTTCTACTAGTTAATTTTATTAGAATTAATTGATATACCTATCCGACTGAGCTTTGTTATGTGTTAGAAAAAAAGTTAAGATAAAAAAAACAAAATCTAAATACAAAATTTCATCCAAATTGTTAGAGCCATTTCTGAGAAACAAATTACTTAATATATAATACATATAAAGATGTTTATTTTAATTTTTCAAAAAAAATATTTGAATAGATTTGATTGAATATCGATAACGACATTATTTTCTGTTAATAACAATAAAACTTTTTAACAACAATTAAATAATTAAAAACATTTTGACCAACGTTCTGACCTCACAGTTGTATGTCTAATATGTAAATAAAAATGTCCACAAAGAAAACATTTTATAAATTTATAATTTACTGTACTAAAAAACAAATATACAAGATAAAAAAGCCGGGAACATTGCGGGATACGGATTATATAATATATATTTATTAGACAAAGTTGATGTAAACCAATTTTTCTTTGTAAAAACAAATACTATAACTGTAAACTATGCATACATATAAGGTTTAAGTAATATTGTACAGTTATATTTTATTTCAGACGAGTTCGTATTACCTGTTGGCGAAAATAATATTCTTCCTAACAATTATCTTTTGACCCTAACAAGTTCGACAGAACAACAGGTAATTTTTATTATTATTTCATACTACCCTTTTTTGGCTTATTTCATTGAATATAGGATTTTCCGTAATTTTCTATTCAATGGAACAGGCCCTTGGCAAGCTTTTTCTACGTGGTAGAGCCACGCTGCAGCTATATCATGGTAATAGCATGAATGAATCGGCTCGATCGGGGTCGGATTAAGCTCTCACAGAATACCAGCATAAAAGTGAATGTGAATGTGAAAGTGAGTGTGAAGAACCGGAGACCCTTTTTACTGGAAACGAGGCATTCCATCTCAGTCCTCAAGGCTAGCAACGCATCTGCATTCTTATTGTTAATTGATGATAATGTAGATGTCTATGGGCCACAGTATCCAATTACCATCAGGTGGAGTCTGTGCTCCTTTGTCACCCTTATTCTATAAAAAAGCGGGTTGGCGATTACAGTATTTAATTATTTATGTTGATAGCCATCGCCAGTCTGGCTGTTTAACTTAAGACATTTTTAGTTTGGGAAATTATGGATATTTAATATTTTGATTATTACAAAACCAGATTTTGTGCTTTTGGTTTTGCTGAAAGTGTAAAAGTATTATTGATAGATTTTGTTATCAAAAATATTTCAGATAGAACAGCAAGGGGCAGCTGATCAACACAAAGAACTAGAAACACAACTTGAAACTGTAGATGATGGTCAATCGCCTATACAAGTTAATAGTTGTACAGAGGTACAGTATAACTTTTCATTTATAGATGAAATTTGTAGGCCGAGAAGCGATTTGTAACCATGTAGTGGCATTGAAAGAATAACAACTATCTCATGTCGTCTAATGAGTATCGTAAGAGGCAACCATGAAACAAATACAAAGAGGTGTTGTAGTTAGATTTCACTATGTAACGCGTGACAATTTGCGGCGGGGTGAGGGGATGTTAAGCCCCGCCCAGTTTACTATCTACATCTACCGATAAATAGTAAAACTACTCGAATCGTTCCATATAGATGCTGCAATGTAGTTTAGCTACCTTGACGATAGATGGCGGCTTGTTCAGAAACTGATTATAAAAACTATAAAAATAATATTTTGGTGATTAAAAATTCTTTAGGACTGAATGCAAAACAAATTTTAGCACCTTCGTATGATTATTTAACAATACTGAGCTCTACGTACCATTATATTTTAGTTCACATGACACAAAGTGTTGCCATCTAGTGTCAAATATATTTATTTATATTTGAAAGCCGACACAAACAGATTTTTCTAGAACTATTTTAACAAATTAGGTGTAAAATTACTTACAAATAAAATGCGATGCTATCCATAGCATCAGAGCGTCTATCTGAGTAGTTTTTACACAATAAAACACAACACTTCATCCTTTTCTTCTTTATACTACGAAAATACACCTATTTGCGATTTTCAACACATAAGCGCACAGGACTATAAAGCCACGTGCAATATGATGACGTCAGGACCTACTTAGAATCACAGTGCACAGTTGCTTATGCCGTCTCCTCTTTGTATTTGCTTCATGGAGGCAATAGGTAGAAACTGAAACAGGTGATGGCCAGCAGCCTCTTTCTGATAACAATTCAAAATAACAAAAAATAAAAAAATCCGCCTGGGTTGGCAGGCGTCAATCTTGGCAACTATGGTAAATTACAAACAAATGAGGCAAGCTCTTTAGGGAAGCTCTATGTTCGCCAGTGGTATTTATAGGCTGTAATAGATGGATGAATGGATATCATTAATGCATGGGTTAAAATTATAAATTTGAATTCTATTTTATTACATTTTTTAATATATCCAAAACGCCTATTAATACTATCTGTGTTATTAATTATTATATATTAGTTGTACACCACACATATAAGGTAGTCAATGTTTTTACGTTGAGTAATACCATTTATATGATTATTTTAAATGTGTTTTAAATGCCTCGAATGCATTTTCTATGTCGATCACTAATAAAATACTAGATACACAATCAGTGACAAAGAATTTACTTACCGAATGAGCGCCCACTCGAACATTTGGGTGCGCTTTTACTTTGTACATGGCTTTGTGAATACAACTTTAGGCAATGCATTTAAGTTTGAATTTACATTAATGTATAAATTTATTTCAACTAGAATTACGTCAAAATAATTGGCGACAGTTTTTAGAGAAGTTTTGCATGGGATTGTGTATCTAGTTTTTTTTATTAGTGATCGATGATTTTCTGGTATTTTAATTTGGTGTGGGATATTTTTATTTAATAATACCAAAATAAATAAAAGAGTAAGTGTCATGTTGTTTCAGATAACATTAAGCGATGAACAATACCATACACTAGAGCAAAAAGGATGGATTCTTCTTGAAACCGATGAAAAAGTGTTTGTGGTTGATACATTAGGACTTCATGACATAACATCAAATTATAGTATGTAGTGTAATAATACTAAAAAATATTATTTTAAAAGCTATTTTATTGATTTTAGTTATTTTATTTAAATAGAAATACATGAATAAATTATTTCAGAACTAATACAAAAATTAAAATTAGAAGATGGAAGTATATACGAAAATATACAACCGGAAAGTGAAAGGTATGTTATTTTAGATTTAAGTACCTAAATATAGGATTTGATATAGATAGAGTACTGTAATCTTTTACAATAGACAAATCTTTATTCCTTTTTTAACATTGCACACTTAATAAAATAGTATTATCATGCATAAATAGCTAACTTATAACTATCTATTCAGCTACTAGGTATATATAAATAGGTAGGTAGATGTGAGTGTTGGTTAGTACTAATCTCTTACCTGTTTCTGAACCCAACCAGGTGCGCATCCACTGCTGTTTGAAGGGTAAATAACCGTAGTAATTACAGGCCGTGGGGTATTTCATCAAAGTCCTGTGTCCTTTGCTTAACGTTGGCTGCAGCCCTGCAGGTGTCTATGGGTTGAAGGAGCCAGTTACAATCACGTGGAATTTGAGCTTTTTTGTCACTCAAATGTTATAAAATAAGAAAAGGATAGACTAGTCGTAAATTTATTATTTACTTATAATAATAAAGAAGAACGGTCGCGCCCTATAGAAAAAAAACCCAGGCCCGACAGAAACGAGACATATCTCAGTTTTTTTGTTATTTTTTATACAGTTAAATTATATATCTTTTATATTCGAAATCAATGGCTAACACCAAAATATTGCCTTATGTTTTTGTTCAGGCGATACACAAAAAAAATACAAAATGCCTATTTATCTACAAAATTCGTAAATTTATGTAACTAAATGACGATACATTAGTTCTATTCAATATAAAGCTTTCGTGTTCATCAATATAAATAGGAAAACATTACGATATTGGTTGTTTGCAATAGCTGCGGCCCTTTGTAAGTTGCTACACAGAATCAAGCAAAAGTGTCCGCTTTAGGAGACACTACAAGTACGTACAGATGGAAAGATACTCAACCAAACAATATTATTGTTGAAACTGTCACTTCTTGTTGACAGATCTTAGATGTGTTACTTTGAGGTGGCCGTGATGAGTGATTTTGCTTCTTTTGTTACAAATGAAGTTGCAAGATTGAAATTTTGTAATTTGATATTTTTGGTTTTGAAGTCAGCGCTGTGTACATAAAAGGTTTTTTAAGGGTGACAAACGAGCTCACAGTCTACCTGATGGTAAATGAATGCTGCCAATAGAAATTTACACTAATCCTTGATTAATAATCGAAGTGCTGATGCGTTATCACCTCCGAGGACTAAGATGGAATGCCTCATTACCAGTAAAAGAGCTCCGGTTATATATACTCATCATACGAAACACATCAGCATTGAGCTGCTATTTAATGAATCATCGAACACAACGATTTTAATGAATCCAAGTTGATTGTTTTACTAGAAGGTTAAAAATTACATAATCCAGCTGCATCTCCAGGTCACCTCGATACATCCCATAGCTATCCTATCGTCATTTAGTTACATACATTAACAAATTTTGTAGATAAATAGGCATTTTGTATTTTTTTTTGTGTATCGCCTGAACAAAAACATAAGGCAATATATTGGTGTTAGCCATTGATTTCGAATATAAAAAATATATAATTTAACTATATAAAAAATACCAAAAAACCTAAGATATGTCTCGTTTCTGTCGGGTCTGGGTCACAGATGACCGTTCTTCTTTAAGTAAAACACTGAATTATATTCCAGTTTATCAAATCAAGGGGACAATATAGAATCCATTATAGAAGAGGATAATATAAAATTAAGTAAAGAAATAATTCAAGACCATGAATTACTTTTAAACAATATTGAAAAGGGTAAGTTGATGTCTATTTTTATTATTCCAAATAAAATAAATTATTTTAGGATCTTAAGTATTCATTTTTATTATATAAAATAAGATGTCGGTTTTGAACGTATAATAAATTTAATTTTTAGACGAATCTGCTGTGATGACAAATTCAGTTGTTGAACCACAAGAAATAATAACATTACAAAATGAAGCCGTCTCATTGAGTTCTTTAAACAATGAATTATCTAAAAGTACAACAGGAAATACATTTAAACTTAAAACCGATATTGTTTTTGGTGGTAAGTCTCTACAATACATTATTATTAATTATGTTTCACGATTACTACATTGAATAAAATTAATGTTGTTAAAATTTTTGAGTTATTTTAAGTTCCCGACGTTTTTTTTTAGAAGAGGGGGCAAACGAGCATGCGGCTCACCTGATGGTAAGTGACTACCGCCGCCCATGAACAACCGCAACACCAGGGGAATTTTTTAATTATCACAATGTTTCGAGCGTTTTGGAGCACGCTCGATAACGTGGAGGTGGACAGATGTTTGACGTCCCTGTGTTTTAGTTAACCAGGGCTACATTCAACTTTTGATATTTTTTTTGTCTAATTTACTATTTGTCTAAACTCGTAAAACTAGTTTACTTTTTGCAAAGTACCCACATAGTATGGTCTATAGATGTTACGGAGGTTCGATTCCGATTGCGAAAGTTCGGAACTTCCGATTGATTTTGCACCATCGATTCCGATTTCGGTTCCGTTAAATTTTAATCGGAAGTTATATATCGGAAGTCGATGCATATTATGCATAGTGGTGGCGGCGGCCGAGCGCAGGGTGTACAAACAATTTTATACTTGTCGCCCCGGGAACCTCCCTCACCCCGTGCCTTCTGTTTTATTTGAATTATTTGAATTGGACAATGAAGCCAAAATCAAGTGCCATTTGCAATTATTTCAATGAAGTTTCTGAGAATACGGCAAAGTGTAAACTATTCTACAGACTAATTCGTTAAACAGTCATTTAAAGTCTGTGCATGCCACTGAATTCGAAGATTTCAAAAAAATTTAAACTGAAAAGAAAAATACAGTGTAATAGACCAGCCCTTACACATCTCTTCTGCCTCCACCTCAGATTCCGGTTCCGATTTCGGTTCCGGTTCCGACAAACAAAATTTAAAAACTCCGCTTCCGAATTCGGTTCCGAAATAACCACTTCCGTAACATCCCTAGTATGGTCATATGCTAACACAAGCTTCCAGTAGTCCCTGGTTGATTTATGAGACAGGGTAGTTTGGACATAGCAAAGGCCTTCGATCGGGTTTGGAACAAAGCGCTTCTTTCAAAGCGTCCAACTTATGGGCTTTCCGAGAAATTATGCAATTGTATCCCCAATTTTCTCGCAGATCGGAGCATTAATTTCGTCAGTGTATGCTTCAACTCCTAAGCCTGTGAATGCTGGTGTTCCACAAGGCTGCGTGCTATCGCCTACCCTGTTTCTTTTGCATATCATAACAATATGTTACAAACCAGGAACATTCATTGTTATGCAGATGACAGCACTGGCGATGCCTTATCCGCCGGCCGTGTTAATATTTCTCGGGAATACGTCGTCGAGTGCCGGAATAAACTTGTGTCTGAAGTCGAGTATTTGTTGAACAAAGTTTCGGGTTGTGGGCGACTAAATCTAGTCTAGTTTAATCCCCAGAAGACACAAGTTTGCTGTATAAGCTATGCTATATAGCTGCAGCAGGGCTCTACCACATAGAAGTCCCGGTGTCTCTTGGAAGGGAAGGCCAAATTGGCCTCTAAAAAGCTTGGCGTGCTTTATAAAGCGAGAGAGTATTACATGCCGGTACACCGCTTGCAAGGCGCAAGTTTGGGCCCACATGGAATAATGTTCTCATCTCTGGGCCTCTGGTCCAGTGCCAGCTCCTTCCACTTGATCGCATCCAATGCAGAGCTGTTCGAATGGTCGGCGACCGAGTTCTTTCCTATCGGTTTGACTCACTGGCACTGCGAAAATATGTTGCCTCTCTGCGTATTTTATCGCATCTACTACGGAGAGTGCTCTGAGGAATTGTTCGCACTAATTCCAGCCGTTCAATTTCACCATCGCTCATCGCGACAAAACTCGCGATACCATCCATACAATCTGGATGAATAGCGGTCTACCATTGTGCAATTTACAAGAGGTTTTTTTTTCAAATCAAATCAAATCAATTCACCTGGTGTTGCAGTTGTTCATGTGCGGCAGTAGTCACCATCCGGTGAGCCACATGCACATGCCACATGAGAGTGGGAGGCCACCACTTTCCACTTTACTCTTGTACGAAGTAGCGGTCTCTCTATGTCCTCACGGTACGGTAACTGGTTGCTCGCATATCTCAAAAGATTGACAACGTTATCTAAGATGTTATAAAAGTATTTTTAGGGACATGTGAAGTTTACACATATTAGGGCAGCGCGGTGTACCTTCCCTGCTCTAAATTATATGTACCCAGCTGTCAGTAGTATATAAGCCCCTACTTAACTATTTAATTTCAGATATTCCTGAGAAAATACTTCTAGGTGAAACTGCAAACGGAAAAAAATTGTTCGCAAAGATTAAAAAGCTTAACAATAACAACGTTAGAAAGGCTAACGAGATTCCACCTAGAAATGATCAAAAACAAGTACATAGAAAACAAAATTCTGCAAGCAATGATGAAAATATTAAACAGGTGGCATTAGGTATGTATCATTTTTTTTATTTAATTAAAAAAAAAACTTTAAGAAAGAATAAATGAAGTAAATTAAATCTACATTAGCCCATGACTACGATTACAAGATTTTTAGTATAAAATATACTATTTTTGTTGCTATTACATGTGAAAATATAGTAGATAGCTAAAGAATGAAGAAATAAACCGAATGATATGTTAATATATAATAACTGGTTACTTCTCGGATCCCAGATGTGGAGGATCTTAGAACTTCCCTGTTGGACCTTCTGCTGACCTCTCACCCGGACGGATATCAGGTGTCTGTCGATGCTCCTCTTTGCTCCTCGGACCATTGTTTAGTCCGGTGTATGGTGCCACTCACGCTCCCATCGCGGTTGCTTCCTGCAGGTTGCCGCCGTGTTTGGCACTATAGGTCAGCCGATTGGGGCAGGATGCGGCCTTTTTTGACGCATGAAGTCAGCAAAACATACAAACTATACGCGGAATATACAGAGTGCCACATGATTTTATCATGAACGGACGTCCTAAATGATAAAAAATTTTTCAAAATTGAATATCGTCCTGTCCAATATAAATGAAATTCCTTTACTATGTTATTTGTTAACAGATAAATTTACAAAATTCACTGTCTAAACATTTGAAATTCTGTCGGAATTAGAAGATACAATAAGTATCTATCGTAAAAATACGTAAGTCGTTAGCGATGTAAATATATAAAGAGGACTGGCAATAATATTTTAACCGATTCGTTGCGGCACCGATTTTCGATGCCACAGACATTGATGACACTCCTATTGTGCCTTCAGCCATGTGTAAAAGTAATGTTCTTTTTTATGCTTTTTCACTTGTTTAGACCTAATTACGTTTGGTTGACATAAAACATAAGTTACAACGGAAGAATACTTGTTTTTAGTGGGTAACTACGTGTTTTTTTACGTGTTTTCTTTGAAATTGAGAGTGACTTTTTTTATGCAGAGATTACAAACATTTTGTACTATTTTTTGTTTTATAAAAAAATCATTTATATAAGTAGGTACAGCTAAATTACCCTGGAAAACCTTGGTTTTTATTTAATTAAATTTTCACCTAATAATAATATCTGTAAATATCAAACAATCAAGAACCTTAATTTGGAAAAAAATAAGGTTTATGATTCATTGATATTTACAAATGTTAAATATTGTTTAATGTTATACAAATGTAAAAGTCGATCTGAAATCGTCTAATTAATCAGAATAGCAAAACAAGTCAAAAGGAAAAAAACGCCGGTGCTATACGGCGGCGAATTGACAAAAGACTATTTATTAATGAACTTTTTTTTATGCATGAACGGTTTCCAACTGTTTCAAGTAAAAATAAACCTTATACCATATCACAAGAGCACATGGTACTTCGTAGGTCTATTCGACCATATGATAGTAATAAGACGGCAGTTCAACCATTTTAAGCAAAATTAAACAATAAGACAAACGCATGTTTTCTTTTAACAGGACACTTGTTTTCCGGAAATTTATTTACAACTTGAGTTTGTGAGCGATCGCAATGAGTGCTATTATTTGTTACTTATTAGACTATTTTTCCACAACATGATTTAAAACCCACAAAGTAAAAATAGTACCATGTACACGTTAAAAAAAGGTTGTCAACGCCTAAAAATTTCAAATTTTCAAAATATCCAGAAACGAAGCTGCAGGCATGAACTACTTGCAAAATAATGAATATTTTGTTCTGGATAAATCTTCCAAAGATTTTTAAAAAAGACACGACTCGCGTGTGATACGCCACACACAAAAGTAATCGAATAAGAATTGCGTTCGGCGCGTACGGCGCGTTCGGTGCGTACGTGCTGACAAATATGCATTCATCTTTACACCACCACTACACAGTCATTATTACAACTTTTTTGAATATTTTTTTATTTGAATTAATGCATTTGAATGTTTTGTCATTGCAGGCGACACCACTCTCAATGAAAGCCAATTCGAATCTCTTATTCGATTAGCAATTCAAAATAACAGTGAAGTGAAGTGCAGCGCGGATGATGTCGCATCGGCTGACAGCGTTGTAACGCAATTACTTAAAGTACCTGCTTTCAGACCTTCTGTTCTCAATCAAAATTTAGTTATCACCAAAGTACGTGTTTTACTTTATTTTAAAGAAAGTATAGTTACGGTCTATATACTTTCCACTGCTGGGCACAGGGCTCCTCTCATTTCTGAGAGGGTTTTAGGGCAAGGAAATGTTCACCGCGCTGCCCCAATGCGTGCTAGTGAACTTCATGTCTTCGAAATAATTTCTTTTTCTTATTTCTCAGACATGCCGGGTTTTTTCAAGATGTTTTCCTTAACCGCTTAGCACGTGGTAAATCAGCACTTAAAATTGCAATCAACAATTTCATTGGTGCCAGCGGGGATTGAACCCGGGTTGCTCGCGTATTATGAAATTTATAGCAAGCGCTTAGCCCCTGAGCTACCACGGGCTCTTATTTTATTTTGTTCTAAGGTTAACAGATAACCCATATACCAACAATCCTACTAGTTCTATTTCTAAAACATGAATGTACGAGGGTGCGTTTTTGAGTTCGCGTAATAGTGGAAATAAAATCCAAATTTATTTTTCCTTTTCAATATATTCACCTGCCACCCTAATATATTTTTCGGATCTTTCAATTAACTTACGTATACCCTCAAAAAAATTATTTGTCTTTGTCTAAAAAATACACCGAAACTGCTTCCTTCACTTTTTCCCACGAAGTTCTTTTTTAAGTTTGGAAATAGATAATAATCACTGGGGGCCAGGTCAGGACTATAGGGTGGGTGTGGCAAAATTTCGAAGCCCACCTTCTGCATGGCATCCATCGCAACATAGCACTTGTGAACAGGCGCGTTGTCGTGCAGAAGAAGGATTCCTTTGGTTAATTTTACCCTTCTTTTCTCCTTTATGGCTTCCTTCAATTGTTCTAGGATTGGTAATTTCCGGTTATGGAGACACCTTTATTTTTATAATTAATGTATAGGATTCCTTCTGAGTCCGAAAAGACTGTCGCCATGATTTTCCCAGCCGATTGTGGCACCTTAAATTTCTTGGGTGGTGGTGTGCCTTTTTTGTGCCATTGCATAGTCCGACCGAGACTCAGGCTCATAATGATGAATGTGAACCCAAGTTTCGTGACCAGTAAAAATTTGAGCCAACACTCCATCTTTGTCTTCCATACAGAGGTTCAAAAATGCACGAGAACACTCCACGCGCTGTTGCTTTTGAGGTGGCGTGAGCATTCTAGGCACCCTGACTTTTTACGCTGACTTTAGTCATGCTAAGATGGTCATGAAGAATTTTGAAAATGGTTATATCTGATACTCCAACCATTTCTGCGAGCTGTTTTTTCTTTAGGCGGGCATCTTCTAATATCAATTTTTCAACTTTTTGAATAATTTCCAAAGTGGTCACTTCGATCGGCCTTCCTGACCGTGGGTCGTCTTCAAGTGACTCTCTGCCTTGTTTAAAATGGTGATGCCACTTGTAAACCATAGTTTTACTTGGACAAGAGTCTCCAGTATAGTCTGAACTGATTTTCCGCACTTGGTAAGGAACTTTATAAGGACTACATAAGGAACTCCATTTTCTCCATATTTCACAATTTCTTCCCGATTGACTTGTTTGGTTGACGATAACTCAAGAGTATCTATGAGTTCTTTATATGAGTTCTAGACCAACTCAAAGGTAGTAGAACACTACGTTTCCAGTAAAAAGGGTCTCTAGTTCTCTACACTCGCCATAAGAAACACAGCAGTATTAAACTGTTATTTTACGCTGGTATTCTGTGTGAGCGTGGTCCTCTCCCGGTCGAGCCATGGGTGCTACAACTATACAATTAATATAAAGACTTGCAAACTCACTAACATTGCAAGTGAATGCAAAAAACAACTGGCCGCCACCGCGAGCCGCTTGTGTGTGAGAGACGCTTAACTTTGGTATTGTATAATTACATATATTTATTATTATAATTACATTACATTAACAAACTGACTGTTTCTCTTTCTGAATAACAATTCTTGGATTTAAGATCAATTTTTAAATCAAATTTTGTGCTGAGGGCGTGTGTTCCGGAGTTGGCACCGGTCCTAACGCATCTTTTCCGGTACTCCTACTCCCAAGGCGTAGGCCCGAACTCATGGAATACAGCTTTTGTCCACCCGATCCCTAAAAAAGGTGACCGCTCAGACCTGTCCAACTATAGGCCTATCGCGATCACCTCCTTGTTCTCCAAAATAATGGAATCCAGTATTAACTGCCAGCTCATCCGGTACCTTGAGGATCACCAGCTGATTAGTGACCGCCAATACGGTTTTTGTCGGGGTCGATCAGCTGGTGATCTTCTGGTCTACCTGACCCATAGATGGGCGGAGGCAGTAGAGTCCAAGGGGGAGGCGTTGGCCGTTAGTCTGGACATTGCGAAGGCCTTCGATCGGGTTTGGCACAAAGCGCTTCTTTCGAAGCTCCCTTCCTATGGGCTTCCCGAGAAATTGTGCAATTGGATCACCAGCTTCCTTGCAGATCGGAGCATCAAGGTCGTTGTAGACGGTGCATGTTCTGACTACAAGCCTATTAACGCTGGTGTTCCACAAGGCTGTGTGCTATCACCAACGCTGTTTCTTCTGCATATCAATGATATGTTGCTAACTGGTAACATTCATTGCTATGCGGATGACAGCACTGGTGATGCTCTATACACCGGCCGTGCCAATATTTCTTGGGAAAACGTCGCCGAGTACCGGAACAAACTTGTGTCTGAAGTCGAGTCTTTGCTGAACAAAGTCTCGGATTGGGGGCGACTAAATCTAGTCCAGTTTAATCCTCAGAAGACACAAGTTTGCGCGTTAACCGCTAAAAAGAACCCCTTTGTCGTATCTCCTCAGTTTCAAGGCACTCCCCTTCTTGCCTCAGCCAGTATCGGTATCCTCGGAGTCGACATATCGAGTGACGTGCAGTTTCGTGGTCACTTGAAGACAAGGCCAAATTCGCCTCTAAAAAGCTTGGCGTGCTCAGCAGAGCGGGACAGTATTTCATGCCGGCACACCGCCTGCAACTTTACAAGGCGCAGGTTCGGCCTCACATGGAATACTGTTCCCATCTCTGGGCAGGGGCTCCCCAGTGCCAGCTCCTTCCACTTGACCGCTTCCAGCGCAGAGCGGCTCGAATCGTCGACGACCGAGCCCTTTCCGATCGGCTCGATTCATTGGCACTGCGAAGAGATGTTGCATCCCTTTGCATTTTCTTTCGCATCTACCATGGGGAGTGCTCTGAGGAATTGTTCGGATTAATCCCAGCCGCCAAATTTCACGAACGCACATCGCGGCAGAACTTGCGATACCATCCACACCATCTGGATGATTGGCCGTCCACCACTGTGCGATTTAGGAGATGTTTTCTTCCTCGCACGACTTCCTTGTGGAATCGATTACCATCAGCGATTTTTCCGGACCGATACGACTTAGGGACCTTCAAGAAAAGAGCGTACTCCTTTTTAAAAGGCCGGCAATGCATCTGCAATTCCCTCCCTGGTGTTGCAGTTGTTCATGGGCGGCGGTAGTCACTTACCATCAGGTGAGCCGCATGCTCATTTGCCCCCTCTCCTATAAAAAAAAAAAACAAAGAAAAGACAAAATTTTAGTGATTTGCGTATATGTCGAATATTATTTCAAAAATAGAATTAGAATGTTTTCTTTCTTTCTTTGAACTCGTACTGTTGTACTTTTGCCAGTCGAGTATAATAAGAAATTATCCTTTAAAATAATACATAAACAATAATACAGGAGCAGCAATCCGCCGCCGTTCAAGTTCTCGCCAAAACCCCTATTTCAAAAACTAGAATTATATTACATAATAATCGTTTTTTTTTTATAGAATAAGGGTGACAAACGAGCACAAAGTCCACCTGATGGTAAGTGGTTACTGTGGCCCATAGACATCTTCACCTATCTTCGATTAAGAATCAAAATGCAGATGCGTTGTCACCCGTGAGGACTAAGATGGAATGCCTCGTTTCCAGCAAAAAGAGTCTCCGGTTTTCTACACTCATCAAACGAAACACAGCAGCATTAAGCTGCTATTTTACGCTGGTATTCTATGAGAGCATGGTCCTTCCCCGGTCGAGCCTACCCATTGGTGCTACAACCATAATATAGCTGCAGCATGGCTCTACCACGTATAATAGTAAAATGTATATAGTAAAATAATATTTAAAAAACTAATTATTTTACTGACTTCAGGAAGTTTCCGTTCAGGACGATACGGGTACGCTACGCGCCGTTGGCCTACAAAGTCTCGTAACGGGTCGCATCACGACATTGGACGAGGAACGTTATTATTTTGTTCACTTACCTAGAATGTTACAGCAACTAATGAATAGATCAGGTATTGTTCTGAGTTAATTTTTGTTAATAATATTTTTTTAAATAGTACGTGGAGCATACTGAAATGATCGGGTATAAGAAAAACCACATGCACGGTATAGCTAAATAATATTTTATTGTTTTTCGAAGTATTCTCCGTTCAACTTCATTCATTAAAACATCATCATTAAACACAATCATTAAAACAGTAATTTCAGTCTGAAGTTGATTTTGACAATGGCTGATTTGTTCGCTTCCACAGCTGCTTCGGGGTCTTCAAACCGTTGACCGCGTAATAAATCTTTCATTCTAGGGAATGTAAAGAAATTGTTTGGGCTCAGGTCAGGACTGTACGGAGGATGGCTCATCAGCTCAACATTTTCCTGCTTCAAAAAATCATTTGTCTTCCGAGCCGTATGGGAGCTCGCACTATCGTGATGTAAGATGATGCAACGTTTCGGGTTATTTTTTCGGAGATCGGTTATCATTTCTGGCAAACAAACAGTGATATACCACTCAGCGGTAACCGTTCTGCGTTCCTGTAAAGAAATTGTAACAACATGCCCCTTTTTCGAGACAAACGTAGCGACCATTTTCTTTGACACGCTGCGGGAGCGAACCACTTTCGTTGGTTTGACCTCGTCTTCGAAGACGCAAACTGCTGAGTGATGTTTTCTTTCAGGTTCGTATGAATAAATCCATGATTCGTCACCCGCGACGATATTACAAACGGCATTTGACTTCCCTCCGTTGAAGCGTTGCAGGGTATTCCGGCACCAATCTACACGAGCCGCCTTTTGCTCTTCGGAAAAATTGTGGGGAACCCAGCGGGAAACTAGCTTTCTTACACACAGCTCATTATGTAATATCGACTGAATTGCAGTCATACCGATACTGATAACAGCCCGAATCTGCTCGTATGTCACATGACGGGCATCTAATATAATAGTTCGCACAGCTGCTATGTTTTCAGGCGTGACCGCTGTTCTTGGTCGACCTGCAGAAGAAACAGTGCTGAGCGACACACGACCGCGTCGTAACTTGGCATACCAGCGGTACATTGTCGTTTGACCGAGTCAAAAAGTGATTCAACATCATAAATCGAAACAAGTTCGCAAAATTATAGCACGGAAATGTCCACGCGTGAGCTCCATTTCTGTTAACGACGTGTCAACTTTAAACCAACATAGTTTTTGATTTTAAGCATTTTTTTAAATTGTTTGAATGTCATTAAGATTCTAAGAGGGCAGTATTTAAATTCTAAAAAAGGTTTTATTGTAACTCAATCCGAAATATTCTATTCCCGATCATTTCAGTGTGCCCCTCCGTATTAGGGTGACAAACGAGTACAGTCCACCTGATGGTAAGTGGCTGCTGTGGCCCATAGACATCTACATCTATCCACATTTGCGAATCAAAATGCAGATGCGTTGTCACCCGTGAGGACTAAGATGAAATGCCTCGTTTCCAATAAAAAGGATCTCCGGTTCTCTAAACTCACCATACGAAACACAGCAGCTTTAAGTTGCTATTTTACGCTGGTATTCTGTGAGAGCGTGGTCCTTACCCGGTCGAGCCGACCCATTCGTGCTACAACTATACTATTAATATAGCTGCAGCATGGCTCTACCACGTATACAATATGTAACAAAACCCTGTGGTTCCGTAAATAACTTTTTTTTTAAAACTCGAACATTATTTTTTTTTTTATTTAAAAAGAATTGTATGCAAATTGTATGTGTTTTTATTACCTCTGCATTGTCTGAGGAGTAAGAGAATTGTCAAAGACCCCGCTTTACTTAGCTTTAGCATCGGCTAGTCAGTAAGAGGTAATAAAATCACAAAAAAAAAATAAGGTCGAGTTTTTAAAAAAAAGTTATAGGTTTGAATACTGATCCTGATAACGTACTTAACGGGAACCACAGGGTTTTTGTTACATGTTGTATATTGTGGGCGATACACTTGCGGTTAATGAGCTTTTGCATTCTAATAAATTTTGTTGAAATCCTTTTTTTAAGGATAATCTTTAAAAAAAATATTTAACATAATATTTTTTGTAGATAGTGATTTGACACCAGTTAAAAAAAAGTCTACTCTATCAGAAAATATGAATAATGGCGATGGAAATGTTTTACACGTGCACGTGACGGAAATAAAGAGAGCTGACAATGTTCTAAGGGTCTCCATCACTTTGAATAAACGACGTAAGTATATTCAAATGATCTATTTTAGATTTCTTTAGGAACAATTTTGATTGTATGTGCCAAATAAATAATTCAAATTTACAATATCAGTATCAGGGTATCGAAGAGACAACAGAGAGAAACTGTAACAATAGATGGGCAGCACCATCTCCCTGTTAACCGATTCGTTGCGGCACCGATTTTCGACAACTTTTAGCTGTGGCGGCGAACAAATATATCACACATACATTGATGACACGCCTATTGTGCTATCAGCCATGTGTAAAAATAATTATCTTTTTTATGCTTTTTTCACTTGTTAGACCTAATTAAATTTAGTTGACATCAAACATCAGTTACAAACGGAAGGATACTTGTTTTTAGTGGGTAACTACGTGTTTTCTTTGCAATTGAGAGTAAGTGACTTTTTTGTGCAGAGATTACAAACATTTTGTACTATTTTTTGTTTTATAGAAAAAAATTATATAAGTAGGTACAGCTAAATCACCCTAGAAACCCTTGGTTTTTATTAAATTAAATTTTCACCTAATAATAAAGATCAGATCAAGAACCTTAATTTGGAAAAAAATAAGGTTTATGATTCATTAATATTTACAAATGTTAAATATTATTTAATGTTATACAAATGTAAAAGTAAAGACGATTTGAAAACGTCTAATTAGTAAGAATAGCAAAACAAGTGTTTTCAAAACGAAACAAACGCCAGCGCTATACGGCGACGGATTGACAAAAGACTATTTATTAGCGAACTTTTTTTTATGCATGAACGGTTTCGAACTGTTTCAAGCAAAAATAAACCTTATACCATATCACAAGAGCACATGGTACTTCGTAGGTCTTTCGACCATATGATAGTAATAAGACGGCAGTTCAACCATTTTAAGCAAAATTAAACAAAAGACAAACGCATGTTTTTTTTTAACAGGACACATGTTTTCCAGAAATTTATTTACAACTTGTGTTTGTGAGCGATCGCAATGAGTGCTATTATTTGTTACTTATTACACTATTTTTCCACAACATAATTGAAAACCCACAAAGTAAAAAGAGTACCGTAAAAAAGAGTAAGTTAACTACTTGCAAAATAATTAATATTTCGTTTTGGATAAATTTTCCAAAAACGCAATTTGAGCGAGTTATAACGATTTTTAAAAAGACACGACTGGTGTGTCATACGCCACACACAAAAGTAATCGATGGCACGCCTGGCGTGCCATTCACACTGAACCGGTTAACAACAAATAATACACACTGTCGATTTGTAGTTGTTTTTTTCCTTTGTATACCCCTAAAATTATTTACATTGATGCCAAATCTCAAGTTTCTAAGCAAACTAGAAGAAGTGGCCTAGGTTTTTGATGAGTGGGTCAGTGAATCAGGTAGTGAATAATAAAAATGGCATACTATTAAACTAGGCTCACTATTGACCACCATCTGGCTCGAAGGCAAAGATGAGGTCCACGATGGAGCGAGTTTGCCCAGGAGAGGCCTGTTAACATGCATCTTGAAGAAGATAAGATTATATTTATATGCACTCGGAAAACAGACGCCGGCAGGGCATTCCACTCCTCATGAAAGATGACTTATAGCGCTTAGTGCGAATATTCGGAATATCAACCAAGTGTGGATGGTAACCTGCAGTACGTCTGGTATTCCGATAGGAGGGTGGAGATGACGGTAAGAGCTTATGAAGCTCACGGGCACACTCTCCTAAGTACGATCTACAATACAATAACTTTAATTCAGGATTCAAGGACTTAAAAATTAAGAACATTGGCCCATAGCAATATATACCTTAACCTAAAAATATATAAAATATAGACATAACACTATTTAGGGAACTTTTTTCTTTGGCGCGTCCCTGTATCGGCGAAACACTACCCCCAGAGGGCCAGAAATCGGGAGCGAGGAATGTCTCTTTATGTTTTGCAGGAACCTGGAATACGTAGGATTTGAAGTTCGTTGACCTACTAGACTCCAGACGCTGCAAATGTAAAGAGATCGGATCCTCAATGCGGCATCGGCTTCGTTCTTCCACGAAACGCAGGACGTCTTGTCCCGACGTACTGTCCAAACGGGAGATGTAGAGTTGTATGGTTGGCTCCACAGCACGCAGAGTTGTACTCGCGTTTATTTTCGCGGTCCCACGCTGGTTACAGACGGGTCGCGACCGACGTCTCTTCTCAACAAGAGTAAACCCGTCCTTATCGATCTTGTCTTGGGTCACCACTGGAACTGATTTTATTTCCACATTCTTCCGCTTTCGACCACAAGAGGGTGCCCGTTGTAAAGATTTTCGGGCAATATCCGCAAACGTCTTCCCTTGTTTTGAGGTTAGCTTCGGCGGAGGAGTACCAATGGGTTCAGTCAAGGGTTGAGGTGGTGATGCAATGACGATCGAGGTCGCCCTAGTTTCTCGGTCATCAACCCGCTGACAGATGGGATCGCGTGACGGAGTCGCAATCATCGGTGAAATATGACTACTATTACGGTTACCGCGTGTCGTATTTACATTCTGCGACGGCGGTGAATTTGCAGATGTTGCAATTATGTTGCGCAACATATTGACTTCGTTCCTCAGCTCTGTTGCGGCTCGTTCCGATTCCTCAAATTTGGAACGGATGTCGGTAACATCGGCTCTCAACGTGGTGATGTCTTTCAACAATCTGGTGACGTCTACGTGATGGAACGTCACGGGAGGCAGCTTGTTGAGATCACGCGCGACGAAAGTTGGAATGTCATCAGGGTCGGTCTCATTGAACAGCCTGAAGATGTCTTGTAGGTCTTTCTTACCGCATCCATCCCTGCGACGTGTGATAAGACGGTTTTAGGTCAGGGCTGAATCTGCTAACACCTCCTTCGCTTGGATGATCTCGTCCTCGGTGCAGCTTGTCATCAGTATCTGCTCCAGAGACACCTGGTCCATGACGTCCAATTTTTGTTGAACAAAGGCCAGGAACTCGTGGATTACGACGGTTTCGGAGCGTTTAGGTTGACACGCCATTTCGAATTATTTTTGCGCAGTAGGTATGCTTACGCTACAAAAATACTGTAGGTTCGGCATTAGAGCCGTCACGTCATTATAAAGCGACTGCACTAACCAGTAGTAAAATTGCGACTGATACGTACGATCTGTAGAAGACCGATAAACAAGCAACTTGGCGGTGGTTAGCTAAAAGGCTTATTACATTACACGATTTCTCGGGCCCTGCCCGCAGGGACAGGGTAGTGTTATTACACAGAAACAGGGAGTCAGGGTCCCTAAACAGGGCGACCGAGTGGTTCCGACCGCCCTGCTTCCCTGCCGCGCTGTGGATCGTGTAGTGTAATAAGAGACAGGGAGGCAGGGAGCTCAGTTGCGTGGCCGCATGCGCAGAGTCTACACGTTTGTTTATTTAAAGTTCTACTATGTCGATCTACTCTCTAAATCATTACTCCTATTTATGTCATGCGCTAAAGAAAAAGATCCTTCTCAATGTCATCGACATCTACAAATATATGCCTTATCAAATCTTAATAGGAGTTTCCAGTGGCCAAAATCGTAAAGTGACAACCAATCTCGGGAATTAATTAAAAAAAAAATTAAACGCGATAGAATCCGTACAAGTCGTTTTATTCAATGTGTAGTGTTCGCGTAAATATAAGAAATCATTAAAGTATTTTTTCTTTCTTTTTCACCCGATGGTAAGTGGTTGCTGTGACCCATAGACCTCGTATACGAATCAAAATGCAGATGCGTTGTCACCCGTGAGGACTGAGATGGAATGCCTCTTTTCCAGTAAAAGAGTCTCCGGTTCTCTACACTCACCATACGAAACACAGCAGTGTTAAGCTGCTATTTTACGCTAGTATTCTGTGAGAGCGTGGTCCTTCCCAGGTCGAGCCGACCCATTCGTGCTACAACTATACTACTAATATAGCTATAGCATGGCTCTACCACGTAAAAAAATCAATAAAGCAATTTTTTGACGTTTAGATAAAGTCTGCGCCATAATGCTAGACGTGCAATCATTTCCACGTTCGAGTAACAACTGAGGCAGGAAGCGATTTCTAGCGTAGCGTAATAAGCAGCGCCCTGTCTGGTAGGCAGGGCACACGATGGACAGGGCCCGATAAATCGTGTAATGTAATAAGCCTTTAAGCTGTGAAGCTTAGTTTCCACCAGCTTATTGTCTTCGATAAGACTCTTGGCTCTGCGTTGTACTTATATTTTTCAATAGCTCTAGAACTTACATAAGTTTATTCTAATTATTCAAGAGGTATTATAATGCAAAATTACAAGTGTGTTTACTCCACCAAATCCAAGAAATACCTTTTGGCAGCTGTCACATATTGGACTTGCCATTTCAACAAAAAAAATCGGTATTCTCGCCAATTCTGCCGTCAGAGAATGAAGTTGAGAATGAAAGAAACTAGTTCGCCTTCCTTCGGGAACCCGTGCATTCTCGTCTCTCACCAAAGCTGTCCAAGAGAACTTCTGTCAGCCATCTCTTCACAGAGAGGGTGACTCACTGAGGGATCTCTTTTTGCGGCTAACTCGACTGTTTATGACGGGGTGGACACACCGCCGACCATCCCGCGAGGTGAGTGCTCCATGCTGGATGTGCGGTTATCACAGCGCTCGGTTCGCAAAACACTCCTGTCCTTGGACGTCAGCAAGTCGAGTGGGCCTGATGGAGTCCGTCCCATTGTGCTAAAGACGTGTGCTCCAGAGTTGGTACTGGTTTTAACACGTCCTTTCCGGTACTCCTATTTCCAAGGCGTAGTTCCGAATTCATGGAAGACAGCTTTGGTCCACCCGATCCCTAAAAAAGGCGACTGCTCAGACCCCTCTAACTACTTGTGGCCTATCGCCACACCTCACAGTCTCCAAAATAATGGAATCCATTATAAACTGCCAGCTCATGAGGTACCTTGAAGATCACCAGCTGATTAGTGACCGTCAGTACGGATTTCGTCGGGGTCGATCAGCTGGTGATATTTTGGTCTACCTGACTCATAGATGGGTGGAGGCAGTAGAGTCAGTCCTAGGGGGGCGGCATTGGCCGTTAGTTTGGACATAGCGAATGCCTTCGATCAGGTCTGGCATAAAGCGCTTCTTTCGAAGCTCCCTTCCTATGGGCTTCCCGAAAAATTGTGCAAATGGGTCACCAATTTCCTTGCTGATCGGCGCATCAAGGTCGTAGTAGACGGTACATGCTTTGATTACAAGCCTGTCAACGCTGGTGTTCCACAAGGCTGCGTGCTGTCACCAACGCTGTTTCTCCTGCATATCAATGATATGTTGCAAACTGGTAACATTCATTGCTATGCAGACGACAGCACTGGTGATGCTCGGGAAAACGTTGCCGAGTACCGGGACAAACTTGTGTCTGAAGTCGAGTCTTTGCAGAACAAAGTCTCGGATTGGGGGCGACTAAATCTATTCCAGTTCAATCCCCAGAAGACACAAGTTTGTGCATTTACCGCTCTCCTCAGTTTCAAGGCATTCCCCTTGCTGCCTTAGCTAGCATCGGAATACTCGACGTCGACATATCGAATAGCGTGCAGTTTCGTGGTCACTTGGAAGGGAAGGCCAAATTAGCCTCTAAAAAGCTTGGCGTGCTCAGCAGAGCGAGACAGTATTTCATGCCGGCACATCGCTGGCAACTTTACAAAGCGCAAGTTCGGCCTCACATGGAATACTGTTCTCATCTCTGGGTCTGGGCACCCCAGTGCCAGCTCCGTCCACTTGACCACATTCAGCGCAGAGCGGTTCAAATCGTCGATGACCGAGTTTTTACTGTTCGGCTCGATTCACTGGCGCTGCGTAAGGATTTTGCATTCCTTTGCATTTTCTATCGAATTTACCACGGGTAGTGCTCTGAGGAATTGTTCGGATTAATTCCAGTCGCCAAATTTCACGAACGTACATCGTGTCAAAATTCACGATACCATCCTCACCATCTGGATGCTTGGCGGGCCACGACTGTGCGTTTTACTAGGAGTTTTCTTCCTTGTACAACTTCTCTCTGGAATTGTTTATCACCGGAGATTTATCCAAATCGATACGACTTAGGGACCTTCAAGAAAAGAGCTTACTCCTTTTTAAAAGGCCGGCAACGCATCTGCAATTCCCCTCGTCTTGCGGTTGTTCATGGGCGGCGCTAGTCACTTACTATTAAGTGAGCCGCATGCTCGTTTACCCCTCTTCTATAAAAAAAATACCTACAATATTCTATCCTTAAGAGAAACCGATATCAATTCTTTAGAAATGGTAATCATTTACAGTTTTATCTAGGCTAATACCAGAATAAATTAGAAGCAGATACATCAAAACACAAAATTTATCAGTTTCTTCATATATATTGCTTAGTACTAATATCTAGTGATAGTTATATAAATTAAAAAATGCACTAAATAAAAAATAAATTTATTTAATCATTCACTAGTTGAGCTGTCGTCGTCCTCATAGTTGTTTTACGTAAATTATTATTTGATTTTCTTTGTTTCTCCACCACTTTGCCGAGTCATCCCTTGTGTAGTAGTTGTATTTTCTACAAATCCTCCGGTGGGACCCGCCTATGGGATGGAATTTCTAAACCCACCTTTCCCACCGGCATGTGTCATTTGTCCATGTTTGCTGCATTGTGTTTGGTCTTCTATGTTTCATCAATGAATATAACGTTTCCCAATTGGTTATATTTTTATTTCACGTAAAAATGTTATTCTGTGCATTCATGTCTCTAAATAATTATTTTGCCTTTGTCAATTATTTTTCGTATCGGAAGCAAATTCCTTTAAAATGGTTCACAATTACTCTATAGTACCATTGTATAAGCAGGCATGTTCTAAACTTATTTGCAATTTCGCCGCACTAGGATTCACAGAAATTATAAAAAAATGACTTGTATAATTCATGATTCTTATAATATAAGCAACTTTAAAAATAAATATTAAAATTTAAAAAAATGTAAAGTTTGGATTATTTGAATATTTTTACCGATTATTTGGAATTACATGAATTTGAATTATTTAAACACCACAATACACATATCATTAAAACAAAATTAATTATGGTTAAATTGTTTATATTTTCCTTTTTTGTAAGATTAGAATTTAAATTAGTGAAAATTTAATAACATAGGTAATTCTTGTGATGAAATATAGAAAATTTCATGTTTTTTTGGATTTACGCAAAAGGTTATTTTTAATCGTTTGAGTACTCTAGTACGAAGTTATTGCGGAATAATTAATGTGAAACGACAAAAGGTATTTCTTAGATTTGGTCGAGAATAGGTCTATTAGTTTTTGAGCTATGAGAGCGGTTTGAAAGTGGCTCGAAATTGTTTGTGTCTATCCATCTGTCTCGTTGTGTGTCTAGAAGGTTATATCGCTAAAAATTTTCTAGCGCTTCCCATTGTCGCCTCTTACGAGGCCATGGACGACATAGGGTGATGAATCGAAACCCTTACATCGTCATCACATGGTATTCTCTTAAGTTATTGGCCACCAATTAAAAAAAATTAAATCATTTCTTATCGTGTAATGTCGGTGTAAGAATATCCACTATCCCATATTGTCCTGTAGGTGTCGTAAGAGCTAGGCTACAGAGGGAAATTTAAACAGGTGATGGGCAGCAACATCTTCCTGATATCAACTCAAACTAATAAAAAACTGCGGTTACCAACCCTGCCAAGCCTGCCAAGTGTGGCAACTATGGAAAAATCGCCGTGGCAACTATATGAGGCAATAGATATATGGAGGAGGCCTATGTTCAGCAGTGGATTTTTATAGGCTGTAATGAATGAATGAATATCCATTTTTTAACTGACTGCCCTTTTAGGTTATTTTTCGGGTAAGTATTATAATTGTATGTATGTATATGAGTATATACAATTGCATGTCCCATTCCGTTTTCTTGTAAACGAATTTTGAAGTGAGAGATTTCAATAGACTCCGTTTTCATCCCCGGAAGGTCGTAGACTACATTTTATGCTTGTAATACACTAAGCAACGAAAACGTAATAGCGTACCTATATACGTAAAACGTAATATTGGTTTTTTTTTTGACACACGCGTCATTTTATATTAGTCAATAAAAGAGCGCTGCTGTATAATTTATTTTTTATTTTCTGCAGAGCTTCCGAACGACTCAAACGTAACGGCAGATTGTAAAAGAAAGCAGTCCAATATGGTATATTGTTGCAGCGCTTGTGCGGCAGTATTTCAAACTGAAAAGGAGTTGCAGGATCACCAAGAGGTATTTTATATATTTTTTGTACTGACGACCGCGTAACTGAGCACCTAAATAGAAACGAAGACGTTCGTTTCTATTTAGGTGCTCAGTGAGCCAGAATTACATTTGTGCAAAACATAAATCGTTGGATTGCGGGTCTGGATGTGTTGCAAAAGTCCCCGGATAGATAAACGCAGAATATAATATCCTAACCTACTTACCTCTGATGTAATTGCTTAAATGTTACATATGTTACGAGCGAGCTAGGGGGAGTTCTTTCTTTTATATATAGAACTAGCTGTTCCCCGCGACTTCGCCCGCGTGTAATTTAGGGGTTTAATCATATTGCTCAGAACTCTAATTATTTTTCTCAAATATAAGTAGCATAAGTTACTCCTTAGAACATCAGCTATTTGATGTTCTAAGGAGTAACTTATGCTACTTATACCCGTCGAAATCGGTCTAGCCGTTTCGGAGATTAGCCGGAACAAACAGACAGACAGACAGACAAAAATTTTAAAAATCGTGTTGTTGTTATAAGTACTGTATATACATTAAGATGCATTGAGTAAAAAGCTGTTATTTTTAACATTACAAACAGACACTTCAATTTTATTTATTTGTATAGATAAAGGTGACAAGTGGGCGCACAGTCCACCTGCCGGTAAGTGGATGCTGTGACCCATAGACATTTACATCTTTCTTTGATTAAGAATCAAAATGCAGATGCGTTGTCGCCTCAGAGAACTATGATGGAATATATCGTTAGAAGTAAAAAGGGTATGCGGTTCTGTAAGCTCACCATACGAAACAGCAGCATTGAGGTAGTATTCTGTGAGAGCCTGGTGCTTTTCCAGTCGAGTCGACCCATTCGTGCCACTACTATACAGCGTTATTTTTCAAAAACTAGCCAAATATAATAATTAAATTTAAAATATAAATACTGATATACATATACACTTTTTGCAGTTTTTAAAAATACGCGTCAATAAGGTTTCTACACTTATTTGAAAATATCCGCAATTGAATGTGATTTATTTATGGGCAACAACAATAGCGTACGCGCGCGCACGTATGTGTGCGAGTTAATGCACGAAGCTTTTGCCTACTAGTTACTTTCTTAATGACACGATCGCTACTAAGTTGATGCGACGCGAATTATGATTACAATTTTCCCTTCATAATTGAAACGGGCTTAGAACATTCATAAGAAAAAAAATGCCATTTCAACGACGTAACCGATGACTGTCTTTATTATGGCATATTTAAAAAATTGTAAAATTTTATCAGTATTTAGAACTTAAATATGCAATCACTTAAAATAACAATAACTTGGTGGTATTTTAAGAGGATTTCAAAATGGATTGAGTTTCTGTCAATGCACAGGAGCACGTTTCCTTAAATTATTCCAGTAGGGGTATAGTTTCAGTAGGGGTATATCGTCCAGAAAATCTTGAATAACACCACTTTCGTATATTCTTTGCGCACCACGTAAACTTTCATTGCTTAAAATGTATAACCGTACCATTTTATAGTATTCGTGGTTCTAATATTTTCGTGGAGTCATTGCTAAGGAAGTGACAATTAATACTACCTACGACAATTTAAAAATAGTAATGAGGTCACGGTCAAGTCAACAATTTTGGGCCGGCCGGGCGAACGTACCTAACGGTGTAACGGCTTACGGAAGAGAAAGGGCGGGAAGACCCGCTTGTCTTTACCGAGTCAAAACAACTATTAGGTACAAAGAAAGAAAAACTATTAGGTAAAAATCTGTAAACGAGCGCGAGCGCCGAAAGCCACCGACTGCTTTTGAATTCAACACTCAGTTATGGCAGATGGCAATCAGTTAAAATAATTTATTTCCACACATCTCTACATATAAAAATCAATTGTGTCCATTATTCTCGCTAAAACTCAAAAACGGCTCGATTTTGATGATATTTTGTGTGTAAACCCATTCAAACAGGTTTAGATTCAGAATTGGACCAGAAATCACCCGTGCGAAGCCAGAGCGGATCGCTAGTTTTGAATATAAAAGATAAAAAGGACAAAATGTTTAGTTTTTTTTCTTATTAATTTTTTTCACCATTCGCTTATATTATCTATTCTGAACCTCCTTTGCAAACTTAGCCGTATATTGAAAAATAATCCTGTATTATAATGTAATACTTGTAATGTAGCAGTGTAATTTCTTTTGCATTGTTGCCAAAATCAAAAGTTGTATTTTTTTTTTCAGAAGCAGTGCATGAATGTGGATAAAGTTCTAACTATAGATATAGAAAAGAAAGGTTATACCACGAAATTAAAAGGCAAAAGGAAAACCTATTTTTGTAATCAATGTCAAGTAAGTAACTGAATGTTCACATTATATGTAAATCTTGTAAAGATTCTTGACCACCAAAAATAGTTAATAGTAACACATTATATATGTAAGTAGTATTAAAAAAAGCTATGATAGCTCAGGGGATAAACACACAATGGACTGCGGTGGAATCTTCCCTGCCTTAAAATCTTCTTATATCTTTGTTCTTTTACCTTCTTTCTTGTTTCTTTTTTCTTAACCCTTATATATTTGTATCTTTATTTTATTTTTGTTTTTTATTTTAGTGCACCCTACCCATTGTTCTTTTTCTTATTTTTATTTATTTCTTCTTCTGGGTTGTCTGGAAGAGATTGCTATGTAGCAATAAGACCGCCCTTTGTATTTCCCTCAATAGTTGTTTATTTTTAATTTTTGATATTTTTATCTTTTCTTGGTGTACAATAAAGAGTATTGTATTGTATTGTATTGTTAGAGATTCTGTAAAATGGGGTGAATAGACACAACTTTCAACTTCTACACTATTTTTCTTACACATATTGTATATAAGCTGATAATAAAACACTGTAATGTTGTGAGTCTTGTCGTAGTTTATCGAATCAGCTTCAAACGAGTAAAAACATGCAAATTCGTTGTATTTTAGAAAAAGTAGTCTGTTTTTATATACCGGGAATCCGGGGTCAATAGATACGACATAGGGGTGAATAGAGAAAAAATGCCAGAGTTGTCAAATTTACTTTTGTTGTAGTATGTAAGTTGTGAGCTTGGACTCAAATAAAAGAAAACATAACTAGGTACATCAAAATTGTCATTATAAAAAATAATTACTTAGTTACTAAATCTGATATTTATATAATTCCATATTATATAAATTAAAAATACCATAGTAATGTAATTTAACTGCTTTGTAGCGTAAGCATTTCCGACATAAAGCCATTAGATAAATAAGCCACTGCTTACATAGTTTTGAACATATTTTTTAAGTAATGAAAATAAAAATAAAAAAATAAATGTGTCAAAGTTTGTTAAGAGGGCCCTTCCCGGCCCGTCTAACGTCAACGCGAGCATGGTTAAAAAGCTTGTTGTTTCATCCAGCGCAATGTTAGAAAAAGAGGCAAAGCGAAAAGAGAGAGACGGCGCCTGAGCGTTCGGTTGGCATTCGGTAACTTACGGCCTCGCTACTATGGCGCATAGCTATAGTTTTGTAAATTTCTCTGCATGCCTACATTTAGTAGGTACCGTATTATTTTATTATATTACTCTTTGTCTAGTACGGACGTACCGCTTGGTCTCGGAGATATGTGTGTGTTGTTTTTTTACCAAGCTAGGTATCGTACGTGCGCTATTTTTCACATGGAAATTATTTATGTTATAAATAATTTCCATGTAAAAAATAATGTCTCAAATTAAAAAAAAAACTGCCACTCAGAGTCGGCCAACTCGCTGTAAGTAGAATCGGTGACACATCAGGCTATAATTTTCCAGTATAACATGGCCTCGCTTTATTTCAATTTCCCGTACAATAAGAGTACCGCATAAACTGGTCTTTATACCTTGATTTGTCTACCTGTCTAGGCTGTTTGTATTTAGGAAGCTGAAATTAGGTAACGTACCTACTTGTACCGTATGTAAATGTCTCCAAATGTATGTTTGTGTAGGTATTAATTTGTACCGTAGTACAGGCGGTTGATCACAAATAAAGTAGTCTAAATAGAGTTTGGTATAAATATATATTTTTATTCTAATGAACTTTGTTACACTTTATGAACAATTATGTATTGTTCATAAAGTGTAACAACCCGGTTGTCGAGAAGATTCCGATTTCCGAGCACAAAGAGTTTACTGTCAGACGTGATTGAAAATTTAGTTAAAAAAACGTATTATTATCTAATAACAATCATTGAATCTATCTCTCATTGGCAGTTTGCGTGGAAAACGTGGGTCAATAATTTCTGGCAGAACACATTTGAAGTAAAACTGCGTCATTTTCAATATTTTGTCATCTGACCAAAAGGTTGGATCTTTGTATATCTTTTCATACAAGAATCCCTTTGGCGTCCAAAGAACAAAGTAACAAAAACTCTTCTTTGCAATTTTCAATTGGGCTTGGACCTGGTAATAATAATTATGGTTTCTTTTCAATTTGATACCATCTCCATCTTCTGTACAGAACACAACTTTTTTACTTTTTATAGCTTCTAATGGCGTCAACGCAGAAGCCGAAGATGGACATTTTATTTCGACAATTCCGTCGTCTCCAATCAAACCATCTGGACTTGCACCAAGAAAACAGTAGTCATCATCAACAAATAACCCACATGGAGTGATAGAGATGTTGAGCTCATTTGCAAATTCTTTAAGGGCTGTTATTTCATTTGATTTTCCATATCTTGTAGAATCATTCCCAGTAAATGTCGAATACAGCATTATTTTGATTATGGACGTGCATGGGGTCGTAGGCTTCATTTTACAAATTTGACCAATAATTGAAGCAGTTATTCTTTTTCTGCGTTCCACAATCCATATATCAGAGTTAGATTGGTCAACAGTATCTCTTTCTAAGGATAATATTTCCGAATGTGTCTTTTGCAGTGATTCAAGGAATTCAGCTTTTTTTGTTATAAATACGTCCATCGGCAAATCAGGCTCACTTGTTACGTTGCCGTAATGATGGTCTGCCGGCTTTGACCGCTTTGCTCGCTTTATCCCCCGTAGTGCATCTTCAATCCTCCGTTTTCTTTTATTTTTAATTATTTTTTGTTTTTTTGCCACATATTTTTGGGTATATGAATTTTTAATATTATCGTCACACATAATATTTTTCTGTATTTCTTGCATTAGCTTGTAGTCTTTAGTGTTGTATTCGGAAACTGCTGCGTAGCACCTTTTTTCATAAGTTCCTCGAAGGGAAAAGTTTACTCGCTTCCCAGCAAGGAATTTTGCTATGATTGAATTAAAATGTTCTGCAGGGTTATTTGTTTCTTTTAGGAGGAGACTTTCTGCATTCTGTGTCAACCATCCCAGATTCTCATAAATGTCAGCCCATATGCCACACGCTTTCAGTTGAGGAACCAAATTCATCTCCACTATATTTTCATTTTTACAAAAATAATTCTTGCACGAATTATGCAAACCAAAAACATGACATGGACCGTTCAGTAGGTCCTCCTTCAAGCTCCTTATTTTTCCTTCTAATGGTAAGTTTAGCTTTGCAGAGTGTTCTATAGCTCCAGTAACTGCTTTATGTAGGCGTCGCATACGGTCACTCAGTGCTTTGCGTAGTGTGACAGGTACTGGTCCATTCTTATTTTCAGTATTTTTTACAATTTTCCTCAATTTATTTGAGTAATTCCTCATCAAGTGATTGGAGCATTCTATTTTTCTTATATAGATATTTGGTCCATAGGGCATTGTATTTCTCAAAGCATTACCCACACTGCTATCACCATCGCCAATCAATTTCGAATACTTTAGTCCATGCATACTAACACTAATTTTGAACCCCTCTACGATTGCATCAGTTTCCATTTCAGTTGAAGAACCAAACCAATTTTTATAACATTTGTGGGCAAGAACTTCAGTTTTCCGCTTTGCAGCTACAGCACAAATGCAACAGTAAGAGTTCCTGACCCCAATGAATAATATTTTTTTAGTATTAAACCCTATGATGCAACCAACTCCCGACAAAGAATTGAAATTTGTCCCGTAACTTCGTTTACCCCAAGATCCGTCTGTTATTACGGTTATATATGGTATTCCATCTGTGTCGATATCACCTTGCTCTATCGCTAATTGTTTTTCTTCTTTGCCTGCTTCAAGCATGTGTTGCAGAGCGACATCTCTGTGTATATCACCTAACTTACTAGATATTTTGATGTAATAACGCTCAGACATATTTGGCATATTTACACTAGCACATATTTCGTCCAATTGGGCGTATCCATTCCCAGTTTGGAAAACACCTTCTACTATACTGGCATTTATATAATCTTTTTGGATGGGGTCTTGAGAAAGTATTATTTTTTCTATCTTGCACATTTTACATACAAAGTGAAAGCTCGACATGAACCCTACCCTTTTTTCTTTTATAAAATCCATAGAGGTGAAATTACAGTCAAATGGATGATGCGACATGGTTGCAAGCTGACTAAAAATATAGCCGATGTCGACTAATCGATTCCCCTCTAATGAAGGTGTTTCATTGATCATTTCTTGTTCTTTTGTAACAAATAACTCGTTGTCTGATAAAGATGGTGTGCTCCAGTTGGTCGAATAGTTGATTTCTTCTTCAGCTAGTTCTTTATCTCTATTTTGTAGAAGATGTTGCCTACAAAAAATAAACAGTTTTAGTTGAAGAACAAATAGCAAACCGTGATATGTCTATTTTTATTTTTATTCATTTACATTTTATATCTCGCAGTAGTGAAAAAATCACTCACCTTGATAACAATGGTAGACTGCGATCAATATTATCATTATATTGGTCAAATTCCACGATCTCATTTTCATCAAAAACCTTGTTCTGTGCTTCATTTGTTACTGTAACCTCTTGAAGTGGTGCCCTATCCTGAGTAAGCCTAAAACAATAAATAAATCTTTATATTCTTTATAAAAAATACAAATAACTTTGTTTTGTGCATAATATATGTTATATGAAATAGGTAGAGTAATAATTATTGTTACCGACTGTACCTAGTATGACATTTTACTCCTTGTTCGTTATGTACAATTGCTTGTACATCAAGCATTACACAAGATATATCATCGTCCACAAGAACTTCTTCTACGTCTTCTAAGAGTTCAACATGTGTGCTAGCTCTGTAAAATGAATCATATTAGGTAGATTGTCACTGTATCAGTCACCGTAATAATCATAAACTAAGGTACATATAATCCACTTTGCATTCCGCCTTACCTAAGCCGTGATACATCATCATTGTCAATGTTTTCTTTGTTTTCATTTATAAACCTGGAAAATAAAATAAATCTTTATTCCTATGTTCATTGCCTAAGTAATAAATGAATAAGAGTTGTATCCTAATCTAGTGTTAGTGGTAATTTATACATGAAATTGTTGTCGTATTATTTCTTATAAGGGAATATTTCATTTGTTGTTTTGTAGAGCTCAATTTGAAATTGGTACGAAAATTTTCAACATTTTTTCTCGTAGTTTTACATCATTAGTAGTATTTTTACCTAATATATTTATTTACCCTAAATACGAAAAAGCCTCATTTTACGAATATATATATGAACATCTTTTACTATGGGACCAACCTTGAAATCGCGAAAAAAAAATCAGTTGTTCTAACATATGTTTATAACGTAGGTATTTTCACAGAACTCGATAAAATGTACTCAATACTAAGTATTTTTTTCGCGATTTCATGTTTGATCTAATACTTATTCATAGTAAAAGTTAAAAAGCTCATTAATATGAGTACAATGACCCCTTTTTTCATTTTGGCCGTTTTCTATGTAGATATAAATACCGTGACATATTTATACTGTGCTGAAACTAAAGTCCTGCGTCCCGTTTTCAACAATCAATAAATTTGATAAACTTCAATATAAAACATTTATTGATGATCCTTTAAAAACCGCTCAACGGTTTTCAATAAAATTTAAATGGGACTACCAGGGAAATATAGCCTTTGAAACAAAAAATATTTTTTCAAATCGGTTCAGGCGTCGTCGAGTAATCGGTGAACATATATAAAAAAAGATTCCGACGAATCGAAAACCTCCTCCTTTTTTGAATTCGGTAAATAGAATAGAAAAGTACTTACAGGGGACATTCGCTACTCGTCATCACCAATTTCGCTCAAATTTATAGGATATGCAGGGTTTGGCTAGAAACGAAAGTAGGTACCCGAAGTGGAAACTCCAGATGGTCAATCGTTTAGGAAATAATAAATGGCGTTCTATATGCTTGTCCTTTTGCATATAAATAAATAAATAAAATAAAATATTCAATTATTTGCTTGGAAAATTAATAATATAAAAATTAAGAAAAAAAGAAAAAAAAACTACACACAGGGAGTCGAACCCATGATCATTGAATTTCTAGTCCGAGTTCTTACCGACGCCAACTCGTGGTCGGCATACGCACTAACGTAAGTGGGTTATACGGTGCGAAACATTTTTATTTTGTAAACGCTTTGCCATCTGGAGTTTCCACTTTGGGTACTTTCATTTCTAGTCAAACCCTGCATATCCTATAAATTTGAGCGAAATCGGTGATGATAAGTAGGAAATGCCCCCTTGTTAGAGTAAATAAATTCTTACGCTTGATTTTCTTTTCGTTTTGTGGGTCCCTTCCTTTTTTTCCTTCGAGCCGAAAGACGTAAACGCTTTTTATTACCTTTTCGGGGATCTGGCTGAGTGTTATCTGTAAAGTTCAGTAGGTATAACATCGCTTTATGTTGTTGTTTGAAAAAATGTGTCTGTCCGACATTGGCTATAACTTGATAAGTAATTATTAGGTAAGTACTTATATACCTATGTACATAGGTAGGTTTTTTATGTGCAAACGAGCACACCGTCCACCTGATGATAAGTGGTTACTGTGGCCCATAAACATCTACATCTATCCTCGATTATGGATCAAAATGCAGATGCGTTGTCACCCGTAAGAACTAAGATGGAATGCCTCGTTTCCAGTAAAAAGGGTCTCCGGTTCTCTACACTCACCATACGAAACACAGCGGCGTTCAGTTGCTATTTTACGCTGGTATTCTGTAAGAGCGCAGTCCTTCCCCGGTCGAGCCGACCCATTTGTGCTACAACTAAACCACTAATATAGATGTAGCATTGCTCTATCACGTATAAAATTTAGTTGTAGTAGTACATACTATCAACATAATGTGATCAATAAAAATTGGTTGGATATTTTTCACAGTACATTTAGCTACCTACTTTAGCTCTTGTATAATTATGTAAAAAAATCTACTTACCCATTTTAAAAACAACTTTTTAGTTCTTCTCAATAGTAATAAAATCGATCTCCTTCAAAATCCTTATCCAAACAAAGTCGGTGTCCGTATTCACAAATGCCAGTTTTGTTTCACGTTATAAAATAGCTAAACCTTTCGCTAGCAAAATCAGTGTCCGGTATAAAAAAATAAGATTGTTGTAGTAGGTAAAACAGATGTCACTAAAAATAAAATGCAACGGCACATTGACGTAGCGCAGTCAACAAATTGAATGCCTACTAACAATTCCGAGAGGCCTGAGAGCCGAATACGTACGCCAGCGGCGCTCGTTATTCAACTCCCCCGTCTCACCCCGCCCCATACCCCGCAAGACTTGTCCCCCGCATACCTCTTACCGCCACTTGGCTAATAAGCAAGTGAGAACGCGATAATATTGAACGAAAAATAGTGTGCGGAAATTTCATAAAACTTGTTCCAGGAAATACAAGTTTTTCAGTAAGCCACAAGCTTTTGTAATAAATTTTTGTCATTTAGTCAATCTCCATTACATTCGCGAGGTTTTTATAAAATATTTTCTTTACTTTTACAATTAATGAGTACATTATGAACGACCAAAATTCAGGTAAAATTTGTGCAAAAAAGCAGATTTTTGGACGCTTATACTAAATTTGTTTCTCCAAATTTAGATTTTTTTTTTAGATAGGAACCTAGATATAGTGTACAAGATACCTATTAGTTCAAAATTTTAAAATAAAGATCTATTACAACGCCATAATGATAAACAAGCGTTTGTATGAAAAGTTACACGGGTTGGCCGCTCTTAAACTATATAACACTAATTATAATACTACGTGTTTTGATTACTAACCTTTGGTTATTTTAAGTTGTAGGTAACAAGACGAGATTAAAAATCACTATTACTTATTTATAAAATTATGTAAGTACTAAACATAAATGTAAATTTAGATAATATGGGGACTTGAAGCTGGTAACTCGCGTCACACCAATTCCGCACCGCTTACATACTTTTTTAACTCGTATACCGAGCGTCTCTGTTAAACAATAAAAAACAAATATAATTATTGATATATTTACCTACTAGATAGAACTAAATCATATGAGCACACTAAGTATATTTACTGCAGGAACTTCTATCAGGTGTAATGGTAAAACCTCAAGTATTTGGAATTTTAATGTATAACAAGTATCAAAATTTAACATTTATAATAGAAGACTTTTAAATAACTTTAATATGGTTTAAACGGTTTTTTTTTTAATTTTAGTTACAATTAGCTACTTAATAAATTTATGTAGTAAGGAAATGTTGCAAACGGTTTTTGACAACCCTAAAAATCATGTTTCTATTAATCCCTTTTACGTTTCTAATAACCCCTCATTCGTATCTATTCACCCCTTTCTTCGTTTCTATTAACCCTAAAGGCGTTTTTATTCACCCCTCAGTCGTATCTATTCACCTCGAATTCGAGAAAAAATACCAATATCCTAATTTTACTATTTAAAATAATAAAATCGTTCAATATCGATATTCATATTTGTATTAATAATAAATGAGAAACTCAGCTCCCTAAAAAAAATTTACAACAAGTAAACACTGAAGAACTTGATGTTTAACTAAAAGTTTTACACAGCATAGAACCACTTGTACTCACACGTTTCTAATAACCCCCCTTTCTTTACTGTCCTCAAAATTGACACTAATTTAAAGGTTACCAAAATAAAGGGAAAATGTTGGCAAATAATAAACAGTAGTAATAAACAGACGTTCCCGAGCTGTAGACAAAGCTAGAGACAACTTTATCAAATAACCAGACTTGTGTCTATTCACCCCGTGATTTCTATTCACCCCATTTTACGGTAGGAGTAGACTCTAGAGTGACTTTAGTTTTTTAATGCAATTAAAAACTTTGGTCACTAAGAGGATAGTTACATTAGTACAAATGTCGCTATAATCAAGTTGTTACCAAATTCCATATTTAAGGACCAAAATTACTCATATTCATAATAAAGGATGTTAATTTAGTGCCCAAAAAAATTACAATCTGGACCCTATAGCTGGAGCTGTGGTCAAGTTTATTATTATATTATAGTTTAGAGTGGCGGTGTAAGAGTTTACTACCCCATCACCTCGTGGGTGTCGTAAGAGGAGACAGAGGAAAAGTGAACCACGAGATGGGCAGCAAAAACTAAATAAAAATAAACTGCGGTTGCCAACCCGCTTTCCAAATGTGGCAACTATGGCAAATATTAATAAGATTGTTTTTTGATAATTCAAACTTGTAATATATAAACAGATATAATATTATCTTTTGTTGAAATTCAAACATTTTTAACTTTTTCAATGCATTTATTTGAGTAAATTGGTTTGGTTTTTGTTTCAGTTAAAATTTACAAAGCTGTTTAACTGTTTAAAACATTTGAAGACGCATTTTAATTGTGTTGAAAGTGCTGACAATAATTCTTTGAAATCAGAATCTAAAGAAGATCAAAAAAACGGAATTTACAAGTGTAAAATGTGCTCAAGTACTTACTTCCATTCATCTACGCTTTCAAAACATATTGTCTCAAAACATATAAAAGTTAGATCAAATTAAAATTACTTTTACAAATATATTTGTTTTATTATAATGGTTTATTACTAAACTTACATATTATGTACAAAGTGATGTACAAGATAAGACAGTATCACATTTTTTAAAATATTTCATCTGAAAATATGTTATCTAAGTCATCTAAGAGATCAGTACTGCCAACGACATGGCTTTCATTGCCATCTGATATATTAATCTCTGAAACAAGTTTAAATATGTACACATTAAGTAGACCAACATAACGGATATAAAACAATATATCATACACATACAAACCTGAGCTAAGCCTTTTCTTTTTGATAATTGTGAAGTCTTCAGAGGTAACTTTTTCATACCCATCAGGCAGTGACTTCTCCTCATCTTGAACTATTATAGAACTATGTACAGCCAAAACGTTGCTTAAAGTGATATTTAAATAATGTTTTTTAAAAGCACTGCCTGTTGTTAACACTGTAGGCTTGCATAATGTAAGAGTGGAGTACTCAGGAACAATGTATGAAGAAAAATAGGCCCATGCATCCCTGTGCAGTGTACACTTAATATTTCCTGAAAAATTCGATTTTAAGTAAATATAAAGAAAAATGCACTAGCGCTTACAATAAAATCTTTAACATCACTTGGAAGTGATGAATTACTGTTATTGGTAGTGCTAAATTTATGATACAAAATTTAAACTTGGGCTGGAGATACAATCATAGTATTCATAGATTGGAAATACTTATTACATTTGTGAAGTTGCTTTTTTCAACTAGCTACTATTGATCGTAGAGATTGTCGTGTCGTGACGGCGTAAGAGAATCCATCACCATATTTCGTTCTTTGGGTGTTGTAAGGCTGCGGGCACGAAATTAACGAACGGTCGAGCGATAGCGACGTAAACAAAAGCATAGTTTAATATGGCAACGCGTACGAAACAGGCGTGAGCGGCGCGACGAGATCGAGTGATGCACTGACGGTGGCTGGGCGATGGCGACTGGAACAAACTATTTTGATTTCACCGCTTGCTCGTGTATATAGAGGTGTATTTTTATTTATAATTTTAATAACGGAAGGTGATAATGATTTTCAATGATAACAGATTCCTAATTGAATCTAATTTTCTCTAAATTATAATCAAATGAACAGAGCCGTGGTAGCTCAGATGGTTAGCGCTCACTGTGAACTTCATAATACGCGGGTTCGATCCCCCACCGGCACCAATGAAATTGTTAATTGTAATTTTAAGTGTTAATTTGCCACGTGCTCAGTGGTTAAGGAAAACATCGTGAGGAAACCTGCACGTCTGAGAAATAAGAAAAAAAAATATTTCGCAGACATGTGCACATAGCAGCGCGGCGGACATTTCCTTGCCCTAAAACCCCCTTAGAAATGAGGGGAGGCCTGTGCCCAGCAGTGGGACATATATATATAGGCTGTAACTTTAACTTCTATACTTATTTGATAATTCCAGGAAAATTTAATGGCTTCTGATAGATTGCTTTGATTGACCATCTCAGCTTGGCAGCGGCGTGAAATGTGCGAGACGTGTAGTATTGCATCTCAATTTGCCTGCCAAGTGTTATGATTTAAATTAATCCTCCTTATAACGAGAGCCCATGACCAGATGTGGATACTGAAGCCCATAAACATCTACGTCGCTACGCATTATCACCCCAGGGGACTAAGATTTCATGCCTCATTTCCAGTAAGAAGGCTCTGATGAAGTAAAATATCACTAAACATATATAAACAAAGGTTACCACTAGTAAAATACAACAACAAATACAAATACCATTATTTTATTTTATTTAGATCTATAAATAAACAAGTAACATCATTGAAGTAATATGTACTATGTACTAGAAGAAAGGCCAAGACTTGGTTGTTTGCAACACGCATTAGAGTCATCGGCTAGATCTTACTTATTAGTCATTGACCCCTTCCACGCATCCTGCACTACTGCACAAAGTTTGTTTGCAGTGTCTGTTCTAGTATGTAGCACATATTAGTTCAATGCGGTACATCTACAATTTGGCGCCTACCACTGCTATTTTACGTGGTAGAGCAACGCTACAGCTATATTATGGTTATAGCACGAATTGGTCAGTTCGACTCGGGTGGGACCACACTTTCACAGAATAACAGTGTAAAATATCAGCTTAATGATGCTGTGTTTCGTATGGTAAAAATACCCACTCAAACGTCCGGACGACGCGACGACAATAGCCTTGAACGTCCCGGCGACACTCGTCGCGATTTTTATACGGTGCGATCGCGACCAGATCGACTAAAACTGTTGCCACGGAGAAAGTTGTTTATCTATATCAGAATAAAAATCACTTACAGAAAGCTAATGAAATGCAGAATTTAATTATGTTAGTTAATTATATTTGTTTAAAATGAATAATATATAATACAAAAACTGGCACACAAAGGCGAAGTTTTCGAAGTGTCGAAGAGAGTTAGTCGCATGTGTCGAATTCATCATATATAAAAACATCATTACACATATTATTTTCATATATATTACCAGTACAAAACTTTAATAATTACATTATTACTTACATTTTAAATGCAGAACTCAGAGTACTACCGACAAAATTTGGCATGCTTGTTTTTTTCAATGGTATATAATATTAGAGATGAAACAGATATCCGGTAACTATCCGGTATCCGGCCTATCCGGCCCAAATAACTATTCGGCCGGATACCGGATAACAAACTACTATCCGGCCGGATACCGGATAAAAAAATACAAAATATCAAATTTAGTTAAGTACTTTATTTAGGTCACTTAACAAATAGAATCAGTAATCACAAAATTTTCATTTTTAATCTTAGATATTTAGTACTCGTACTGCACTAAGGGCAAATTATAGAGAATAAATACTAGTTTCTCCGCATTGAAAGATAACAAGCGGTTTCGCCTGTCTTCATAAACAAGGCCAGCTTCAGAAAAAAGTCTTTCGCTGTACACACTGCTGCAGGGTGCTGAAAGATAGATTTTGGCAAACTTCGATAAATTGGGATATTGTGTAGCATTAGCTGGCCACCAAATATAAGGGTCACGATCGCGAGCAATTCGCACTGACTTTAGATACAAATCAATTTTGTGAAATCTCGTTTTTTTCCTCATGGTAGGCTGGCTAGTATTTTTTTCATTTCCAATTTCTAGGATTGTTTCAATGAAGCAATCCCAGAACGTGTAATGAGCTTCGCGTGATACAGCTGACTCTGTCTCCTCTCCTCTACAATTTCAGCCGGTGTTGTCGATGAACTGGAGGACTCTTCGCTAGTAGACATTTTTAAGTATTTCAGTAGAATTTCCTTTCAAGCTCTTTCAGCTTCAACTACGTGAAACTTTAACATTGCATAGTAAACAAACAGCAAGCTTAGGATCACCACTGTCTATAACAAAATGTTCCCATAAAAGCGATCTTTCCTTTATCGATGTCATTTTGTCGTTAAATTTGTTAAGAATTATAAAAATCAAATAACAAAGCATGTATTTTAATAACCTCAAACGATCGTGTTTGCAATCAATAGAAGTCAATGAACCAATTGCTAACTTCGCTCATGAACGAAAAGACCCGAAGTCACCCGAGTACCGCGTGCACACGATCATCACCACTAGCGCCACCTACGCAACTCCGCTGCTTGCGATTCACTAAACGGCAATGTTCGGCCGAATATCCGGCGGCCGGATATCCGGCGATAAGACTGGCCGAATATCCGGTATCCGGTATCCGGCCAAACAGCTATCCGTTTCATCTCCAGTATACATTACTTTGCGTTTTTTAATATAGAGCCATCTAATGTAACATTCATGAAAATATTTGTAACTTTCCATAGATAAAAAGTCGTTTAAAGTGTAGAAGTCAGCGAGGCCGCTCTAGTCGCCCTAACGTTCAACCGGAAAAAGTTTTAGGCGACTATGGTCGCCCGGACATTTGAGTGGTTAAATAATATATATAAAGTTCACTAAATGGTACTAGACCGCCTAATTAAAGTGAAAGAGATAGCAGAGGCTATGAAAATGTCCAAAGAACGTGTTTGTCACATATTAAATCATGATTTAGGCATGAGAAAGCTGTCAACATTAGACCAAAAATGTGTTTGAATTAACATATTCAACACTGTGTTGGTGCAGTTTTGGAGTCAGTTAATTATTGTAGATAAAGCTTGGATACACCATTATACGCCCAAAACAAAAATATAATCAAAACAGTGGACTGCAAAGGGGGAACCAGATCCAAAAAAAGCAAAATCTGTTTTTTCAACTGGGAAAGTGATGATGACTGTTTTTTAGGATAGTCATAGAGTTATCTTAATCGATTATCTTCAAAACGGAAAAACCATTACAGGAGCACACTACTTGACAAACTAAAGGCAGAAATTGCGGAAAAATGGCGACATTTGCAGAAAAAGAAAATCCTGTTTCACCACGACTTGATGTTTGACTGGGAGAGAATGCCTTAAGGCATTAAGGCCGCCATATGTGCAATTTTATTTTTTGTGCATAAAAGTTTAAATAAATATTAAAAAACATACCGGTTAAATCTCTTAATGTCACTAGTGAATCCATAGCAGATCTGTCAACACTTTCAACTAAAGCAGTAATAATTTGGGCTTTTCTAAATTTCAAATTACCATTGAGGGCAAGTTGTTTGACAGTTTTTATTGTTTCTATAGATTTTAAATTCCAGTTATTTATATCTTCTGTGAGTCTTTTCCAGAGTGTTGATTCAAACAAACCTTTTTGTAATGGATTTTGTGAGAAGTCTATATCCTGGAATAATGTTGTAAGTTTTAATTTAATTAATACAAAAACCTAAACATTACAGGAACAAATTAAATAAATGTGTAATATGTACAATTTATTGTTTTCTATAATGCAGAATTAATATTAGGTAATTCTATGAAAGGTAAAATATAAATATATTTTACATTTCATATACATATGCCTCCCGTTACTCTGGCCCCTGTCTAATCCGGCACCCCCTGTAATGACATGCCTCTAACATGTAGGAACAGT